CCTGCCGCTTTTCCTTTTCGCTTCCGCCTGGTTGACATCTGCCCGCGTGCGATTCTCTATTTTTAATTTTTTTTTTTTTTATTCCATTCACGTTTTAAACCCGCCTTGTCCAGCCTCCGCCTTCTGTTATTCCAGATTGAGACGGGCGGCGACACGACGGTATATCTATTCTTATCACGTTGCATTAACCCCTGTAAACTCGAGATACCAACGGCGACAGAGTGCGAGGTTTACACAATATGTATGTGTACATCAGAAAAACATGAACATTCTCGTGTTCGCAACACGATTCACGCGGCGATATAGTTACGTAAGTTTTCAACGCGAACTTGAAACACATTGTCGCTTGTACTTTTCCGTGATAAATAAAACGTAGCCGCTTTATTTTTAACCGTTTCCCAGAATAGAAATTTTCTACTTCGTTCACGGGACGTTCTAATAAAAAATAACAGACTGGCGTCGATCGATCCTCGTGAAATGAAATATTTATTTCTTACTATTGTCTGTCGCGTGAAATGCTGGATAACTTACCTTTTTTTGTCCGGAAAGTACGTATTTGTAGATAATTTACTGAATTACTTAGTCATTCTTGACCGATAGGAACAGATTGACGTAACTGAAAGTCTTTTTTGAACCGTTGTATGGGATATCTAGATTACGGATGTTTAGGTAAATTGATCGTTTTGCGAGCTAATTTCTGAATATAGAAATTCATTGTTTTGTGTTTTATTGAGTTCAAGATATTTGAAATACTTTCACTGGTTGATTTATTGTGATTTAACTATCGTAACATTTCTATACCATTTATTAGTTTCAGTCTACTGCATGCATCATTTTCTTTATCAATATTCGTCTATAGAATACTAATCCAGAATCGTAAAGTGTAATACACATTTGTTTGTTATCCGGGCTGATACCTCTATCTTGTAAAATTTATTACGAAGGTACACATGAACCACACTTCCCTCAGTTTCTTATCACAACCAGAAGTAATTAACTGCAACAAGTTACGTAACATGCACTGGGAGTCACGAAAATTCTCTAAATAATATTAGGTGTACTAATACGTACTCCACAGTTAAATACTTGACGAAATTAATATTAGTCGTTATAAAACTCGAGGATCTATAATAATTATCATAATTATTACATTTTTCCTCAGTGAAGAGTCCGAAAGATATTATCAAAATAAAATATATCGCCTCATAATTTTAAAGAAGTGATCAGTGGAGGCCAGGTCTCCGTTGGCCCCTACCTATTACTTACGACACTGCATAAAACACTAATAAATTATTACCAATCCAAGTCCCTATTCTAGGAATCCCAGTATCCAATTTAGATTGCTGATATAATGAGAACAAACAACAAAATCAGGTCATTCAACAAAACACCAAACAATTCTTGCTTCCACTGTTATTCTCCGTTCTGGTTCCGGAGGCTCGCGCTGCAAGGACGTCTCGTATCGAGCAAAATGGCGGGGGGGTCGAGTCTCGTCTGGAGGTTCCATGAATCGGCGCGGTTCGAGAAGGGGGTGTTGGCGCGTGTCCTCCTCCACACAGTATCGTTTCCACGATCCGATCAACCATGGGGGTGGAGGGGGTGGGGCCGTTGGGGGTGAGTGGGGTAAGTTGGCCCGGTGACCCAGTTTATTCCCGGGGGGGTTGAATGAACGGCACTGAACGCGATGACGTCATTCCCGACCTCATTTCCGGTTCCCCTGGTACAGCCCAGCTATCCCAAGCTCCGCGACGTCCCGTTGACCCGAAATTTCTCGTGAATCGAAGGACGCTCGTTCATCCCCCGGCGCCATTCTAGGCGGCCATGAATGAATTTTCCGTACATATACGCGGGGCTTGCCGCGCTACGAACGGAAAAAAAATAGAAAAATCCCGGGAAGAGACCCTGGTGCCCATCAGTATCACCTGCCACCCCGTTTCATCTCCTGTATGTATTACGTGTTATGTAGGAAATATTACAGGCTAGAGGTAAATTTTATTCGAGTCGTGCTTTCACGCATGACGCTCTCAGGACGGACGGTGAGGGATTAACACTAGAATTACCAAGCAAGTCAAGATGACTTGATAATACATTCTTACAACGATGATTAAAATGTTATAACAATCCATTTTCTCAGATCTTTTGTAACTTTTAAACATCTATGTGATTATAAATGATATTGCAGGCGTAGTCGCTGCCCCGTGATCGCCAGCCCAGTCCTTGCAATTTGGTAATCGACAGACGATCAATACGTCTGGAAATCAAACTACGAATCTGTAAATAAACTTGTAATTATTGGCGAGATTTTTTTCTGTAGCTAGAATGAAATTGAAAGTTGTAGCTTCTATTCAGGATTTCGTTTCATTAAAAATACAGTAAAATGTGGTATTTGAGTTTTCATTAGGTCTTCATTCTGTCGTATTTAACACCGTTAACACATTAAATCTAGTCTACTAACAATACAACGCCGTGTTTCATGGAACTGAACAAATTTAAAAGAAAGGTAAATTTACAAAAACACAGTCTGCATGTAATGTTATACAATATTTAAAAATCTATATGAAATATACATCATTCACCTTTTGGACTGTTCTATCCTACAAAAGGCGAGCGGTAAACTGCCAAAAGTCACGAGAATCACTCATTTTTCGCAAATATTCGATTTACATTCGTAACATTTTTTTTTTCTTTTTTTGCGTGATGTCACAATGACCGAAAAGGACAGGTAGAATTACAACCGTGGAAAACCCATCTCGGAGTTATTTGTCACGGGTATCGGTTGCAGCTCGCGCATCCCCCGTGAATTTCGTACGGTTCGTCTGATCTCGTAAATTTTCCCCGAAGCACGCCCCTCGTTTCCCCCAGCGGGAACTGTTTTTCCGAGAAGCGACAATACGGAGGAGACGGACAACGGGTCCATCGGAGAGGAAATTCCTCTGCGATTTCTTCGGACGTGATTTGTGGAGGGCCGTGGGTGCATACCTGAGATGACACCTGAACCACTCTTCGGGAACAAAGAACGGTCCAGCAGGTATACGGGGCTCCGATTCATGGTGTAAATTTCACTGAACAATCGACTTCGTTAACAGACGAACCCTCAAACGTCTATGCTGACACTAACACCTTCAATGAACCTACAAAGCCAGGGCCGTAGCAATCTTTACGTCACCCTCTGAATTTTTTAAAAAGCAAAAAAAAAGCACCAGTTGATAAACGTTCGAAGCTACGTCTACACTATATAGCAGAACAGTGTTATATTAGAAACTGTTGCATCTTGCTATACAACATATTTTTCTAACTTGTTACAAGATTATACCTTCTGGACAAGTTTATAACAAGATTGTATAACATTTTGCATTTAATAACGGCGTCGCAATGTACCATATAACATGAAAAATGTTATATAACATCGTGTTATAAAATGTATATAACATCATGTTATATAACATTTTTGTTTCTGTTCTTCTGGAAAGTTTTATAACTTTGCTACATAACGTGTTCTGTTATATAGTGCAGACGTAGCTTAACAGTGACCCCCTGGTTAATGATAACAGCCTTACTTAAAGTTATTGTTTTTTTTGTTTTCGTTACTGTAATGGTAAAAATGGAATGTACGTCGATTGTGTAATTTCAGACGCGATATAAGCTATTAACATTTTGACTGCCACGCCAGTTATATATGGGTGACACTATTTAACTAGATTATTTAGCATTGTTTATTATGTGAGCTCAGTTTCTATGTTACAATGACTTATTGAACTGTAGATTTCATGGATTTACACAGTAAACAATTGTGAACAATAGACTGATGGAAGTGTTACAATTGAAGTTTCATGGAGCTTCCGTGACGTTTGTTCGAGTTATTTTGATAAATTTCGTACCGAGAGCGTTGGTATACACGTCCCTGCGAGGGGGTTTCGTTCAATTTCACCAGGACGATTGTAAATCTTTCATTGGAAAGTGATCCCCATGGACAAAGGGCATCGCATTACAATGCAAACCTTCTACCGGAGGCATCACTTTGAAAGTGAGATCCTTCAGAGTGATGAGCTCCGACAGCCCTGCACCTTTTTCCCTGCCGATACATTTTTCACTCGGAACTTCTCCCTCGAAACGAGGAGGGAGTTATGGTCAGCGGTATGAAAAGAAAGTGTCTTTGTGGGAAATATATTTGCAGTTATTAAATAACAGAGAACGCGATGGACCGTATCGAAGTGAAGTCAACTTACCATGAACTAGTCTTATCGATTAATTTTCGGGGTAATACTCGCCCACACCTTAAAACATCGATACTTTTCCGTTATATTTTTTTTTAAATGATCGCTGTTTAAATTACGTTTAGAAACTAGTCAGAATGACGGATTTCAGATTTTTTATTTTCCAATTACTGAAACCTTAGAGATACTTTCATCGAAATTTATGTTAACCTCTAATTTCTTATACAGTTTATGTTACACTGTACTAAGCTATATTGTATTATATATTACACAATTTAACTTAGCATGCAGTCAACGCTGGTAGTTTCAGTGTTAACACGTTGGATAAATCTTATCACTAGACTGCAGAAGTTTATGCAAATTCACAATTCTAGGTATAAATACGTAAAAATTAAAACGCAGCAGAATTCTACATTCTGTGCTAGAGGCTGCACTACGTTAATAGTAACAACAGTAAAAATATTAAGCTTTATTAAAACCTTTATTTTATTTCATTTTTCACGTTAAAAGATACTATAATCATATCACTAAAAACGAACGAACTTTCCGGTTCAACCAACACATCGCGACAATTAAAATCTTCATTTCTGTTCGGATCTTCGAGCCATGCTTAATTGTATTTGTCCTCTGATCTTGGCTCCGGCACCGTGGCCGCGGATGTGGCGCGCGTTCGGCGATTAGTGTCGGCACACGGCCCCAACATATAAACATTAAATGTCGCAACACGCGTATACGTATATAAATGTTGGATAAAGCAGCCAGCCGCGCGTTAGTGGAACACAGTAACTACGTCGCGAACGGATCGACGAGATGGACTTTTTGAGTTTCGATGTCGCGACAAAAAGGCTCACGTTGCAAAGGGCCGAGGTCCCTGTGCCGGGCCCAAGCGAGGTTCGGGTCAGAGTAGCTTACGCTGGGATCTGTGGGACCGATCTTCACATTCTAGACGTGCGTCGTTACCGATACAACGGTTTATATTTCTTCATTATTATATCACAACCTTGCCCGTCAGCCTGTATGAGTTTGTTGGCTTCGTCTCTGTGCTTTTCATACCATTCCATAGTAACCCCACGTTACGAAGTTCTTGAATACACCAGGTGTACGAAGTGCTCGAGTACACCAGGTGTACATGGTGCTCGAATAATAATTCTTACCGGTATGTTCGTGTATCAGTACGCTAAAAACGACAGGACTCATTGTGTATACGGTGCTGTAGAAATGTTTGTTGTTTATAATAAAAGTTTGCCTGAATTTTGGTTTGGATAATATAATAATTATAATACGTACATAGTGAAACGCAGCAGTATCTAAGGGTCGTCATCCTGACCATCAAACAGACAATGAGATTAAATAATTGTTTTTGTTAAATGTCTACAGATTCAAGAAGTGTTATTTTATTATAAAAATTGGAATTTCCACGTTTAATCGATTTAAAATGGAGAAGCAGTTTCTTGTATCTTTTATTCACTAGTCGAAACTATTTATCCACGTAGTGAAGTTTTCCGTCTGTGTTTAGATTGATCGGTAGGTACCTATATGGTCTTAGACGATAAAAATTATTTGGACACTCTGTGTGACTCGTATTCGAGTGATTCTTGCCGCTTGTAACATTATAAGAATTCATTTGGTCCAATGTGTATGCATAATAATTCTGACCGATACGTCCATATACATATATCTATATCAATGTACTAGAAGCGGCAAGATCGCTAACCGAATACATATCCGTGCACGGTAAAAATAATTCTTCTCCCTCTCTCTGACAGTGCCTGGTGAACGAAATTTTTCGTTTTTATCCGACGTTACGTGACTTTAATCGGTTCTGCAACGATTACGCTCTGTGCCCCGAGCCACGGGAATGTCCCGTAATTTCTTAACACATAAAAGTATTTTAAGAGATAGAGATTAACCGGCCGCACGATACAACGCTCCTGTTGATAAATATTCAACGGACACGACATCGCTTGTATGCAATACACACGGTCTTATCGGTCGCGTGATGCTGACTACATGATTCAATGAGATTTGTTGAAATTTTCCTATGAACAGCGTAATTATCACGTTCTATTTGACCCTCGGACAACGGTGTTTGGGTACATTTAGACCCACGATATCAGAATCCTCACTCGACGTTCCCGTTTATAGACACTAACCAAAGCATACAATTTGTTTGTAACAATATTTTTGTAGAAAATCAGGGGTAGATAAACAAATTTATTTTTTCTCTAAGAAATTTCGATCGAAGCTTCTAGTTTCATCTGTCTCACACAATCGCGCGTGTTATAAACGCGTAAATGTACATTCTAATTATCAGTAGCTGTAAAATTCAAACTGAGAAGAGAAAAACTCGTGTAATGAATGATTAAGAGTGTTAAGAAACGCCATGAAGAATTATAAGAGATATACGAGAATAAATACAATATGTAAAAATAAATGAATATTAATTAAAAAATTTTTATCAATACACAAAACAACCCCGATATTCGCTCATAGTGTTCTGTCCGTATCATTCACCTTCCAAGGCTCAAACACGAGTAGATGTCGAGGTATTGGTCGAGTAGTTGGTCCTTTGTATTAATTGCAAAATGCTATCTCGATTTCAGGGATCATTCCCGTGCAAGAAGGAGGGTTCTCTGACACTTGGCCATGAATTCTCGGGCACGATCGATGCCGTCGGTTCGGCAGTGAACGTTCTGAAAGTCGGCCAAAAAGTCGTGGTCGATCCGAACAGCGGTTGCAACACTTGCGATTACTGTCACAGCGGGAATTACCATTTCTGTAGCGCCGGTGGTATAAACAGCACCATAGGAATCTACAGAGATGGCGGCTGGTCCACTCACGCTATCGTGCCAGAAACGCAGGTGAGTGTCACCTGGTTCTCGATTTTTTCATTTAATGGAATTGAACGGCACACAATGTTTCTTGTCAAAATCGGCTTAATTTGATAGATAAAAACAATGGGTAGAATAAATTTTTTAATGAAATATTTAAGGATCAACGAAACATACAATTTACTGTACTGATTTATCAAATATTCTTGGAACTACTGATTTTTTTTTACAAAACTTCCGTATATTTTACAGATTATTTTTAAATGAACGTTAATAATTATTACTTGATGGATACAAGTTGCGAGAACTATTACAGATCATTAAACTTTTATCTATTCTACACCATATCGATTACCTCGTCCCTTCTCCCATTAATCATTCGTATACGAGTGATAGCGAAACCCATTACTGAATATGAATCGCCAAAATGATAAATTGCTCTGTATATGTACCGTTTGAACGATGATCCCATCCGTATTCTTTCGGTCCCCGTGTACTTTTCATGTTTTCTTCGAATCCCTTTTTCGTGTATTTATTTTTATTTTGACAAGACTCTTTAAATTCCATTATTCATCGCAACTAAGAATTATCTCTTTTGCACAAAATATACGTGTATCCTCTGTTCACTTTATACAATAATTTAAAGCTACAAAATTACGAATGCAATAACAAGTTCCGATTTATATTCAAACCACTCTCATATTTCCTTTAATATACATAAAACAATACATTTTCAGATACCAGATTTATTACTCAAATATTTATTAAATCCTTTAAATTTCTACGTAAACACTTCACGAAAAAATAAAATGTGATACAGCCAAGAAAAAACAGTATAATATTACGTTCGTGTGGAACAAAGGCCGCGATCTACATCCTTCCGGCGTCTCATAAAATCTCCGTATAAAAATACGTTCGGGAAACCTATTTACGTCACGCCGTCAACAGTTTTACTATCCCAGTTTACGAGTTCGTAAAGCTTCGCGTAGCTCGTTTTAATCCTCATCCAATCAAACGAACAGGGCGCGCCCTTATAATCACAGGTCGTTTAAATTCAGCGAAACAGAGGCTCACGTTTATTTTAATGCTCGCGGTTCAATTTAGTTCCTCGGGGGACGACGAACATAGGAACACGACCTCAAACATTTTATAAATATATAAAAGTCAACTGTAAAATTTATTTCAACCAACCAAAAGCTATTTAAGCATTAAAACTATGGGCAGCGCCGGTTTAAGGGTCGGGGGCTATAACTCCGGGCCCTACTTTCAGAGAAGGGCCCCGATTTGAGCCTTCTGTTTATGTCAAAAAATAATTGAATGAAAGTTTGTTGACTGTTTCCCTTTTGGAATAATTAAAAATTGTGCTAACTGTAGAAATAAATCGGATCAAAGTTATTAAAATATAACAAAGCATTGTTCATTATAATCAAGCGTTCGTTAGGATTAAATGATATTTAATTTTACTTACACTAAATTTCAATTTTTGAAGATTTATGAATTTTATTATACGTTACATTACAAAAGTTTTGTGCCCCCCTCTCGCTCGAAGGTAATAGCCCTGGGCCATAAGAAATCTTAAATCTTGCTGACTAGGGACGATGAAATTGAGAAAACTCGTTTGAAAAAGTGAAAAATGCACCTTTTTGCATTTCTATTTTTGATTTTGTTTTTACGAACTTTTATTAAAAAATGATAAGTGTGTTTCGTAATTAAGGTTTCAAAGTGACTATACAATTTCTGTCAGACTATAATCTAGATTAGTTTTCGAAGAACCAATAAACCTTAGGGAGGGATGAAATACAGGCACCTTCCCCACTGTCATTCGACCCTCCTGATGAAGCTAGATGCAGCACTTGCGAAACATTGGGAAAATAATTTCACAAGGACCACGATTTACACCCAAAAGCCTCAACAGCGAGAACTGTTTCGTGTGGGACAGGCTTTCCATATCATTTCTCGTTCATTCAAGGTCTACGTGGTGCCCGATGGCGTGGAGATGCATCAAGCTGCCCTCACGGAGCCTCTCTCCTGTTTGGCCCACGGATGGGACAAGATTAATCCCGTTAACGTCGGTCTCAATGTACTCGTAATTGGCGCCGGAATAATTGGCCTTCTGTGGTCCTGCCTGTTGCACTTGCACGGACTCAGGAAAACCGTGACGATCAGCGAACCGCAAGAGAAACGACGCAAGATGATGCCCAAACTCGGTAACGTCTTGGACAACTGACATTTTCTACACAGGGAGACCACAATGTTTCATTGCTAATGTATGATCAAGTCCGCCCACAATCAGACTGTCGCCTTTGAAATGAGAAAGTTCATACGAAAAAATTATCTTTACCCACCGATTTTATCAACCCCAGTCAGCCAAACCTGCAAAGCCAAATTTTGTCCAATACTTGTTATAAAGTTATGGCAACAAGTTTCATGCAAGATTTGCTGCAAACAATTTACGCACGCATTGGCAGCAATATCAAATTGGTTTGCACAAATCTTGTTCCGGTTTTGCCCTCAGTTTGACATAGGTCATGTTGCAAGACTTTTTGCTAATTTGCTTTACAATTTGGTCAACTGGCGTTGCCTGCAAAATCCAAGTCGAATGCGGAAACAAATGGCAATGGTTTTTCTAGACAACTTTTGTTATTTATTGCTGGCCATTTGCTCGAAACTTGTACATAACTGGTTATTAGGGAACTTTAGCGAAATTATTGACATCGATAGTGCAGTGATATGGGATCATCAGACTGTTCGAACAGCTCGAACTTGTCTGTTGATGGACCTACCTTTGTATTTTCTGAACGACTAACAAAGTCATCTAGAAATTAATGGTAGGCCTCTGATAGCTGTATTATTTCTGTACTAGTAATGTAACATTTTAGGTCTCTTCGATATTGCTATAAGTCTAACTATGGTTTAACAGAAGTTAGTAATATTAGTATTCTATTTTTTTAGATTTAGATTACGAAGTAAAGAGTCCAAATGAGTTAAAAGAAGGTTTCGACTTGGTTGTCGACTGCAGCGGCTCCGGTCCAGCTATGGAGGCGGCTGTGCCGTTGTTAAGACGCGGTGGCCGTTTATGCGTGTTCGGTGTTGCCAGTCCTAAAGCGAAATTGACCATCGAGCCATTCCAGGTAATTACTGACTCACGATTATGTCATCGTTTTCCGGATAATTGAGTCGTTATTGTTCCAGCAACCGAGCGCGTTGCTGAAGCGAGACACACAACGTGTAAATTGTTCTTTGTTTTCCTGTAGGTTTACATGAAAGAATTGAATATCGTCGGTGTAAATATAAATCCTTTCACATTCCCAAAAGGGTTGGCCCTATTAAGAGCAATGGCTGATAAGTATCTCAATTACGATAATCTAGGTATTAAAATATTTCCATTATCAAAATACGGTGAAGCTCTCGAGGCACTTAAGAGGGGAGATATCAGCAAGGCAGTGTTCAAATTGTAAATAGATCGATTATTGAATAAAATATTGGAATATCTTTTATATCGGTTAGTATAGTTATTTATTTTATCGTAGGTTAATATTTTAAATAGGGCATAAATATAGAAACAACAGTTTGACGCAATTCGCATTTATTAAAATCCATATTAGCCTAGAAGTAAATATAAAATTGCAAACTCGTAAAAAGGTCATAAAAAATCTTACTTAATGAGATTCTATGCTTCTGCCCCTCGTTACGATATTCGCGTATTCGTCTGAATGAGATAAGAAGAAAAATGATCCCTGTTATGAGTATGCAGTCTATGCGCATAGTAACACACGTATAAAATATCCTAGTCGCAATTGTATAAATAATTTCGTCTACAATATACAACCGTTGGTCTAGTTCTAAAAAAACGAATTACATGCTTTGCATATCAACACGATCAAGGTACTAACGTGTATATTTAATTTCTTTTTTTTTCTTGTTTGCCGAACTTTACATAACAAGGCAGCTAGAGAGTATTACTACTTCGTGTATTATTTTTTTTCCTTTTCAATAGAGCATTAACAAGTATTTAAGTCTTTAAAATTGTATTGCTGCACTTTTGAGCTCCTACCAGTGCTATCTGGAAGGTTGCATTGATACACTCGTTAACATTATTATCAATCACTTCCTTCGCGTCTATCAGTTGTACTGATATATAAAAAGAACTATATAATATACTTATATATATATATATATCGAACTATTGATACGCAATAATATTACTTTTTTTCTTCTTCACTATGCCTCACTATTTATTTCATCTGGAATGTTAGTTTGTACCTTGCCAACAACTCTTATATGGCTGGCCCCTAATAAGTTTCATATAATATACGCTAGTATTAAGTCAATTTTGGTTGTAAATAACTACAAAAATAATCATCTAAAAAGTGTTAAAAACAAATCAGGCCCCTAAAGTTATCGTTGATGTTTTCTAATATCTATTGAGAATGATGAACCACAGCGCTATCAGCAGCCATTTGGACAAGCCGCATCGACTTGCTGCTGCCCACCGAAGTCCCGGGTAGTTAATATTTGGCGTGGAGATTTCTGCAAATTGTGATAGTACTTTTTCATACAGCGGCGCTACGTCGTTTGAAGTGTATTATACAAGTTCAATATCGGACATATCAAGCAAGAGAAAAAGCATTTCTGATAACGTACCTCATAACTGTAAGCAATAAAACTAAGACTATCAAAGGTCCTGAAGAGAATGGTACTACTCCAGCCCCATAACGGGCTTGACCACAAGCTGGTGGACACACAGGGACAGTTGTTTCTGCGCAAAGAAACAAGGAGCATTCTAGAACATGCTAACTACCAAACTCAACATATGAATACGGTGAAATTAAATTTACAAAGACCAAATAGGCATATATGAAAGCAAAAAACGCAAAATGAATAATGTACATAAAATCATATCGATTTACACGTAGAATGAAATACAAAATACATGGTATTATCATATCATGCACAGTCAATATATACATGTTTATCTACCCTACAGCTTTATAAACCTAATATCACAATTAGAAAAATTAAATTGATATTTCATACGTTTACATTTACTTTTAATGCGTTCATGAATGCTTCAGAATACGTACCAAATAATTCGACCTTCGTTTCTGCAGTTCCTAACTTATTAGCAGCTCTGCACACATACTCTCCGAATTGTCTCTTTTCAATTGTTATCACTCTAATCGTTGTATCGGTATATTGGTCAGCAGTTGCAAAATGTGATATGCTATAATGCTGATTATTAGACAACTGAACATCATCCTTCAACCAGACAATAGCTGGTGGAGGATAGGCCTCTACGTGACATTCTAAATCCATATCATACTGTAAGGCTTGACCAAGACGTGGTCTAGGTGCTGTGATCACAGGCGCAAATTCAACTTCAACATTAATATTACGTCTACCTCCGCGACCTACACCATTTTCGGCAACACAATAATATGTTCCGCGGTCTTCTTTACGAATTGCAGGGATTTTCAATGTGATACCGCTGAAACATACTTATTTTTTAATACAAATTCTTAAACAACTCAAACAACAAAAGCAACGGAAGATCAATTACATACCGATAAATTGATCCACCAGTTGGTAAAATGGCATTATTTTCCCTACGCCATGAAATTCTTGGCGCAGGAAAGCCACCAGCATAACAATCAAGTTGCACCGGTTGTCCTTCGCTGACAACAAGAGATCTGGTTGAATTATCACTGATGACAGGTGGTCTACGGACTTGCAGTTCAACGTTTGCAGTTACATAATTATTTAATGATATCAAAACTTTACATTGATAAAATCCTGCATCAGTTTCTTGTATGTCTTTCACCTGAAAATGTTTATAATATTATTTTCATACACTGACTTGCTGAAATAAACGTGTAAGTATTATTAAATTACCTGTAATACAAAGGTAGATGTAGCTTCATCATACCTAAGGGCAAATCTGGTGTCTCTTATAATTAAAGAACTGCCATGTGAAAGTGGCATTTGTTCATTAGCGATATCTTTATTAATTTTTGTCCATATAACTGGATATTCCTGTGCATATTGGACCGAACATCTAAACTCCACAGTCTCTCCAATATCTTTAATTTGTTCTTGGGAAATGTAAGATATTGTTGGTGTACGTTGACCCTTCACTAAAAGGATAAAATAATAAAATTGCTTCCTGCATGCATACTATTACATTAATATGTAATATTACTGTTGAATAAATATAAAATATAATAAGAAATGTGACTTTATATAAATATCACATTATATTATTCAGTTGCCCAAGAAGTTTATTAACTATCTAATTATACAACTGGGTTATCAACATAATGGTCAAAGATAAACCCCCAAAAAGAGTGAACCTTGATCAATATGTTGGCCTCATTGAACCCATCTCTTATTTCTTCTAATCATCCTCATTATAACTTTGTACTGATGTTTTCTCAATACCATTAGTTTATTTTGGATTTCATGTATTCATATCATACACAATTGCTTAAAACTCAATATAGTAAACAGTTTTATAAAGTTCAATAAAGTTTCTATTTTATTTTGAGCCCCGATATTAATGCAATAAATTAAATTTTTTTTTAATTTCAATTTCTATAAATTAATTTCTAGAGATCTACATCTGCATAATAATCCATGGGTAGTATAATCATTTCTACTGTTGTGACTCAATGTTTCATAACAATTGTATCCTGTTGCGTTTTCTAAGTAATATCGTCAATAAACCAAAACCAAAATCGATTCAAATAATACAAGCGACAATAAATAATATCTTTGAAATACTTCAGAAAAGTGAAGTGCCATATTTTTAATATTTTTAAACCGGTGGGCCAGATGAGTCCTCTCCTTAGTTTTTCTAGGGTTATTGAAACAGCTTTCGATAGAAGAAAAAAGCGTCGAAAAAACAAAAGACAGGCATTACGTACGAAACTAGTACGTGCAAGTGAATCGTGAATTTCGTGTCTCTTACCTGTTTGTAGAAAGGCAAACGCACAAATTATATAAACAGTCTTCATTATGACACACCCAATGCTGTCCAACGACGCCCGAATAATCTTCACCTTTTTTTGTGCGTGCGTTTATATCCACTGGTTTCGCTGAACATAGGATAACACCTTCTCGTTACATCTGTTCAACGCGTCCAAAGTAAAGGTTGTTGTTGAAGACAACGATCCACACTAACGATAATTCGAATATCTTTAGCGTTGTTGTCAAACAACAACGCAAGTGGATAGGAATCAAAGGAAGTAATGCTCACAGGTGTCTGTTGACCGAAAATAAATATGGCGAATGACGCTACATATCTGATCAAGCGAAACACTATTTAGACGCCTTTGCACACTTAATACAAACCGACAATAGTCATCTATATTTAACTTACATTATTTATTTCATTATTTATACAAATTGTTTATTTATGTATTTCTGTATTTTCATGAATTAAAATTCTGATCGAATGGTACAAATAGTTGTACACATGACTCACTACGTTCATTCAAATTTGTACCTTACGATTAGTAAATCGATTGACGCACAATGGAAAACTGTTATTTTTAATGAATGAATAATGAATTTTAATGATGAATTACGTTTAAATACAATTCTTAGATCACTCTTCCTCCATCTTTTTAATTTAAAATAGAATAAATTCAAGTCTAACTTTAAGTTTGTATCCGTACTCACATCCCACCCCCATTTAATTGAATTTAATCTCATCTAATCTGTCAAGTCATTATTTAAGGCGTTCAGTTTAATTTATTTACATGTTATTTTTATAGCTTCGTTTTTTCTCCCATGTCTCACTTTTCAGTTACCATTGTTGTGAAGACCTTTACCACTCCTCATCATTTAGTATTTAAATTTAAGCTAGTTATAAGCTAATGTAAATCGGTACAAAAACAATAAGTAGATAAAATCTTTGATTCCATCTATGGATCGTCGACTGTATCGATCTCATTCCATCCATCTGTCTTGGGTCTCCAATCGCAGCAACCTCCTCGTGGTGAGACCCGGGCAATCGGTATTATCCTCGACAAAATATTACAAATCAAGGGTAATACCGAGCTAATTGCTACGAACTTAAAATTTATTTCCATTATTCTAAAAATAAATGTACCTATTAACGAATTTTTTTCGTGAGACACCAAAACATTTCATTAATTGTGACGACTGTGGTTTCTGTTTCAACGCGTTCTGCGTCATCGGTTTATGTTCCAGAGCTTACAGTCGTAGCTAGTACATATTTCCGATCGTTGCTTTACAATAAACGCGACTATAGATTCTTTTATATTCAAGCGTCATCAATGTGTTACGTATGTACGTCATGATTTCATCGGTATGCACGTGTACATGCTCATCCCTCCGTTGATGTTTCAAGTTCATCAAAAATTTGTTCTGTAGCGATTCGATTAAGTTCAATATATACACATTAATGCCAATTAATTCAATACAGGATATCCCACCTAACGTGAGCACCTTAAATATCATACTTGCTTTTGATTGGCAAAAAAATAATTCTAACAAATGCTCAAATAGATGTTCATCAACTTCACGCTGATAAAAATACGTAGTCCCATTTAAAAAAACATCGATGACCTTGAAATTTCGAAAAATATGACCTTTAGAACAATTTTTGCTTATCATAGTACTCCTTCTAACCAAATAATACTATCCCCTCGCATTTTATTAATATAAATTGAATATCATAACGTTGGTACGCAAAATCAACATATTGATACGATGACCTACAACTTTTGCAGTAACCTAGTAAAAAAGATCGATCCTTTTAATTGTTAACTAGTAGAACCAGGTTAAACCAGTCTACCCAAATGCAAAAAATGACCAAAGACCGATGTTTCCATTCGACTCGAATAGACTCTGAACACTGCACCATTTGATCGAGTTTCAAGTCATCGGTTTCGATGCTGTTCGCAATGCACTTGGTTCCATCATTACCGCTCCAGTAATGTCCTATACATGCACGATACGTAACATATGTTGTGACCGAGCGGTAACCATAGCGATCCGAAAAACCTCATTGTTCCCCTGTATTCTCGTATCGTAGAACCAACACGAATCCTCGAATACCTTGATTCCTTGATAGGTCCTCACGAGCGTGCCTATGTGTGTGAGATATGCATCGTCGCACACAAACATATACACGATTACCTGTGGTGAAAACGCGTGTGTGCACAATATTATATGTGTGTGTGCGTGTGATTCCGTGGCAGCGGGAAATCATGAATCGTAAACACATGACAACGATGCTGTCGCTCCTAAGATTCCGGTATATGTATGTGTAGATGACACGATGTATCAGCATGAGTAACGTTTACGTGAACGTTCGTAATTATCCATCACGCACACCGGTCGAATTAACGCACATGTGTATATTGATTTATGTCACGTGGATCCACGTGGACGGAGTTGAAAAAGGTGTACAAGAATAATTGGGAATAGGCATCAAGTTGTCCCATGAGGGGAAAGGATTTCTTTGGGGAACAATTTAACGAGGAGGAACGATCGGTTGTGGACTGTTTACCACCTGATTTAACGATGACCAAGCAGTTTTGTTGCAGGAATTATATTGTTTGAGGACAACGTTATTCTTTTCGTTACACAAGTCATCGGGCAAAAGGTCCTTCGAAGACCTGTTCGCATGAGAATGAGGCTAGTTAAATCATTTCGAAAAAAACTGATAAGTCATTCTGTAAAAATAGATTCTTGGTAAAGAATAACTCAGTGCAAATTCGATTGAAGAGCAACAATGATAAACTTAAACATATAGTATGTAAAACATTTGGAGAAGTTAGTGATAATAACGTCTTTCTGTCATTACGTTCGTGAATAAAGTATAGGGCTGCATTGATGTCAACGGTGTAAAGACATAACCGTTTTCATGGCTACCCTTTAAAAGGTAAATACCTAATGGACATAGAAAATGTCTCATTGTCAGTTGATTACTATTATTATCTATATTTGTAGACACATTTAAAAAGCTAGAATTAAAAAAACATTCGTAACATCTATTAACAAAGACTATTATATTAGTTATATTAAATTAACAAACTCGGAAAATTTTTCGTACGTTTCGAATATTTCCATTTCCGCGAATTTCGTGCATACATTCGCTAATGTCGTAAGTGTAAAAAATCTACAATCTGTTCGTTTCTTTATCATTAAAACAAAAGAATTTTCACAAAAGAGGAATGTAAAGTGTGAATAAACGCTGGGAAAGATTTGTTGATTACGCAGGAAACTCGTTTCATAATTAAAATCGTTGAGTGCAAAAAAACTGATTGTTAAACTTTATCAAAACAAGCAAGATTGTTCACGAAACAAAGGTGGTCACGTGTATTTGTTCGGTTTATGGTCATGATGCATGAAAGACCTAATGATAAACAAACTGTATGTTACAACTAAAAACACGTACATCATAGAATAATATCGAAAATAATACGACGGTATATCTTATTAGACTTCGTACTAAGGAAGACGTAGGAAGTTGAAGGAGAACGAGCAATATCTTTAAAAATAAATACTAAATTCAACAATAAATAGTGGACTACTCATTTATACACCTGACAAGAAGAACAAGGACACAAAGATAACATGAAAACTCCAACACTTATCCTTCCTATCAAATCTGAACAAACCCGCACTGTTTCTATATAATCCTACAAATTAATAAATATCAAGACGGATTGGTTATATTAGATTATTGCAAAAGATTCGTTGTATTGGTAGAATACAAAATATCACACAAAACAAGAAGACCAGGTATGGACCGAAAGTACAGACGAGGGTCGACTCCGTGTTAGAATTTCAAAATCCTCTAACACGTATCCTGGTAACCACCGTCAATCAGATTTCTCACAGAATGTTTGCATGTCACTAAATAAGAAAAACAGAGGAAATATCGATAATCCGAAATTTCGTTGTTATTACCAATTCGGTATAAGGACACTTTTGACCTTCTTATACCCTTTAAACGATTTCAAAAATAATAATTCCAAATATGTTTCGCACAAAACCGACAAACTTTTCCAACGGCCTAACCTCGTCCTGTCGTCAAAATTGTTAAAATATAACAAAGCGTTCGTTATAATCAAGCGTTCGTTAGGATTAAATGATATTTAATTTTACTTAAAATAAATTTCAATTTTTGAAGATTAATGTAAATTATTGTTTGTTTCATTACAACAATTTTGTGACCTCCACCCCCCCCCTCGCTTTTCAACCAAAGGGGGACTCGAAGGTTTAATAGTCCCGGGTCACAAAAAAATCTTATTCCAGGTCTACTCCCGACAGTCCTGCACGATCCTTTTTTTTGCGCAGCCTGTAGAAGGGATACCATGACACGAACCACGCTTGCAATTACACGTGTGTCTGTTCGTGCAAAGGCACGTATATAGTTACCATTCGTAAATGACACACGCACGGCTGTACATGAAACATATAAGTATCGTCCTGCCACGAGGAGGTCAGTATGTGTCACACTATCGCGGTGGAAGCTACCGGCATCACCTGACAAGACACGGAACGTTGACAGTCCACGGTGGTATTTCAAACGAAGTGAAACATCCCACGAGTACCTATCGTCACGATTACAACTACCCTTTGTGAAACAGATCGACGTGCACTATTTACGTTCAATCGATGAGATATTTTCAACAGCACACTACAAGAACGGAATAGACACTTCGGGAGACCAAACATTGTTTCCAGTCTTCCGAGCACCGTCGAGTGACCCAATTCTGGTTAATTAACATGCTATCGTGTTTATATGAATTGTACAAACTTTCGTGAAATTGACGATCGCAAGTGTCGGAAGTGACACGGAACGTCATCTTCTTCTCCGTCAACGTGACCTCACGATCTTTCAATCCGTGTGCCATCGGTGGTGACTTCGAAGACTTTGAATCGTTCTGTGGTGACGTTAGTGGTGACGATTGAAGACTTTAAATGATCGACAAGATAACATAATACATAATAACAGTTCGGTTATTTTAATAGAACACAAAAGACATAAGGACGCTAATGGAATTGTGTAATTATCAACTATTCTTGGAAGAAATGGTTGCAATAATTATTGTTCTTTACCAACAACTAGAACCAGAAGAGAGACAGACAAGAAAGACGCAATGGCGCTAATAAAAATGCCTAATGATCGAGATCCAATCGAAGAAACTGCTACCAAACCTTGTTCTAATAATAAATAATACCATTTATCAGATTTCTTGAAAGAAATGGTTGCAATAATTATTGTTCTTTACCAACAACTAGAACCAGAAGAGAGACAGACAAGAAAGACGCAATGGCGCTAATAGAAATGCCTAATGATCGAGGTCCAATAAAAGAAACTGCTACCAAACCTTGTTCTAATAATAAATAATACCATTTATCAGATTTCTTGAAAGAAGTGATTGCAGTAATTATTGTGCCTTACCAAGGACAGTTATAAGCACAAAGGAAAGTGGAACTATGTAATGTTCAAGTACAAAAGACTAAGTATGTACATGTAACGAGTGTCGAGCCGCGGACGACCATCGAAAACACGGTGTTTCGTGCAAAGGATCTATAGATTTCGTTTAGATCGTACAGGAAAGACTCGGCCGGAATGTCAGCACGTTTCCTCGTCGGCCAAGGGCATACGAACCCACCCCGGGTCGAGGGAAGGTGATAACTATAGAGCAGCCGGCCAGTGATCCATTCATAATTGAGGAAGTGCCTAACCGTCCCGAGGCCGCAGCCTGGAATCGTGATCGATCCCCCTCGTTTACACAAGCGGCGAACGATCAGTAGCAATCACGCCGAGTTTTACGTACGAATGTCGATCGAATCGATATCTGAATTGTCTGGCATCCCTCTATCGATCGATCGTTAACGGGAACGATCTCGAGGAGATCATCTTCGTCTCCAGATGTGCTGTGTTCGATCCTGTGAATGCAAAGTAATCTATGAAAGACACTTTCTCTGTTGAGTTCGACGAACAACAATTACTGAATCAGTGATCGACAATGTGAATGGCATTAAATATAATATGGGGAATTGAAGCAGTTTTTATATAAATCGGAAATCTTCGGTATTTGGATACGAAAATCGGTGTAATTGTGGTATTCTTGTCAGGGATCTATTATTGGTCTTCTTAGAAGCAACGACGATTCAATGAGAATTATTGGATCGTGAGGTGTGCACTTGGTGCAAAATTGTTGTTGTGAAAGTACGTGGATCGTATATTGTTTACCAAAGGAGGAGACTGTATTCCATTAGCGTCTCGACTATCAGAATGACGTTGCCGGTCAGGATCGTCGTGGTGTTTGCATATTATTTCGGTGTTATCGGCGACTTGCCATTGTTCGACCGATTGTCTGTTAATTCCTGGTGAGCACGATGGACAACGACGAGCTTCGGGTGGAGGATGAGACACAGGTACGAATGTTTGATATACAGCCGATGTTAAGGCACCCATTTTTTAAGCTTATTGTTAGATGCTCGATGCATGAATTATTGAGCATAGAAAGTGGAACGCGATGTTTCGATTAACATTTTAGTGTTTCTTATTTTAAAATAGCTTGGTGGAAACAGTTGTATCGTTGTACCAAGATAAAATAATATTTTATTTAGATTGAGTGGTTCGACGAAGATAATCTAGAATTTGAAATGCATATGTAGTCCAATGTTCTATTGTAGAATTGTATGTGTTTTCAGAGAATTATTATACGTGTTTTATATGGAAGTGTCTGAATTAATTTGTAAAATCCTAATATTTTGAAACATTAACAATCTAATTGTCGAAACAAATCGATTCCTCTACTGTATATAACTGACACACAATTATACGAAAATGATTTCGAACAAATCAACTCAATTCACCATTTGAATAATGACACTGCAATAATTTAGTATCGACAAAAGTATTTATTAGGGTGGAAATGTAGTGCAAATACGTTGACAGAAAATCGAATCTTGTCAAAGCTATAACATAATCTATAAAATAATCGTAGGTGTATTTTATAACGTTAATGCACGGAACTGATACCCAGATCAATTACAGTATTTACATATTTCGATTTCAATATTACTGCATTTATAAATAACTTACGTGCCTGCACAGAACGATATTGCTGAACATTCTAGGCTTTCGTTGCGATCAGTTGTTGAATCTAATCGACACATCTAGTCAGCACGACTATCGAAATAATGGATCTATACGAACCACGTTATATCAAGAATATCCGTTTAATTATAAAAATGAAGTCTACGTTAAATTACGAAGCATTCGCATAAAATAAAGGTTCGAGTGGGTAATGTTCGTCGTTTCATCGATCCTTCGAAACAATGAAATTTTAATAAATGTAATAGTCCTAATAGCCAACACGCAATATGTTAACAGGTACGGTGTATACATATATATTAAATAAATACGTCAAACATGATAGTAGCTATTGTTTCGCAGTTTTCTTGGACAAGTGAATTTAATAAATATATTTAAGGAATATGAAAAACACTCGTACATTAACACTAGAACTGCCAGCGTTGAATGTACACCAAATAAAATTGTATAATACATTGATGTGTATAGTACAATATAACATAATATAGCACAATGTAAATTGTATAGTAAATTAAATGTCAACGTAAATTCCGACAAAAGCACCTTTACGATTTCAATAGGTAATTGTAAAGCAAGAATTGGTTGAGAGTTTTAGTGTTAATTTATTCTGGAAACCAGAACCTTTTGCTTTTTCCATGTCATTTGTAGATTACAAATAACAGAGTGCTTGAAACAATTCATTATTCGAACCATTATATTCACATCAAGATCCGCTTGACAATCGAACAAAAAGCGTGACAAATAGTCTGAAATTTACGACACGTGTTTAGGAAGTATGCTTCTGGTGCAGTACAACTTCAATTCACACGATGAAAAAAAAAAGTAGGACTCGCATGAATATAAAAATAGTTTAATATATCATTTGAATTTCACGGAAACTAAATGCATACGTGATTCGAATTGACGACGAAATTAGGCTTTAAATTGCACTAGAGACTGTTCGGTGATTAGAAGCATTTAGCCCAGTTTGGAGTCCAAAAATAAAAATTATGTTTCGACAATTTTTTAGCAAAAATGATGAAGTAAATGAAACATCTATTAATACATTTATTGTACATATCTTCGGGTATGCGAAAGAATATTTTTTACAAGAATAAAATGGCGATGCTGGGACTCAGCCACGTTTAGTTCCCCTAATTGGCATTCAGAATAACTTGCAAACAATTTGACCTAGAACAAAAAACAAAACATTTTCATGCTGTATATGAAATTTACTAAAGAAATACGTATGGATTTTGCGATATGTCAAAAACAATCTTTGCTATGGACATTTTACAAAAAATGTTTCGGTTGCAAATGATACTTATTTCTTCAAATATTCACTAGTTGCACAAAAATGAATATTTCTAAATCTCTCTAGGTATTTGTTTGGTAAATTTCATGTAGAATACACAAACATTTCGTTTTTTGTTCTAGGTCAAACAGTTAAAAATCTTTTAAAATCTCCCCCTGAATTGACATAGAATTATAGGTATATTAAAAAATACTGAGTATAATCATTATGTGTATTATAACATCATAATTGAGTATGATAATTATCACGGTTAACTACCGAATTACTTTCGATGACCTTTCTGTTTACCGCCACGCGATGCAGTCAACCGAGCAATACCGTAGTTGTTTAAAAATGTTAGAAAATTTGTCGAGAAATGTTACGAGCAAATCCAAAACTATTCAGGATGGAAAGTGTTAGATATGTGGGTAACAATTTTAATTCTAAAAAACATGGTTTTATATTTTTACAATGTCAAACTCAATCAACTGAACAGAAAGTTTATCTGTCATCGTCGATGACCGACACGGCCTTTACTGTGTTGTACTAGGTATACTGATCGTGAGTATATGTTGACTTATTAGTAAAGCCCGACCATAGACGAGTTATGCACAAGATAGAATAAAGTCAGGGCTGCCTTTCAATGACGTGAACGAAAATTCATCAAAAATAGATGTACGCCATTAGTGCTTTCAACAGCTGAATTATCGATCATTCTTTAAAACAATGACAGGTGAACAGTAAACTTTGTCCCCGAATAATTTACGCACAAAATGGAATAAAGGTACGGTTAGTTTTCTATGACATTAACTAAGATTCATAAATAGAATTCACTTATACCATTTATCGTGTAATGGCTCAATTAGTAATCATTCCTTGAAACAATCACAGTAAATTGCGAACTTTGTCCCTGAACAATTTGTGCGCAAGGTGGAATAAAGTTAGAGTTAGTTTCCTTTGACTAAAATTCATCAAAAATCGACATATACTATTAGACCATAGAAGGCACTGGAATTATCCCATTATCAGTACATTCTTGAATATATATTACTTTTGAAAAATACATTTCAAAAAATCGATTTTCTAAACTTTCACAGTGGCCTGTTGGCCCTTAACGCTTTCAATGGCTCAATTTATTCGCATTCTATCCCCTTAATACCTGAATACTTCAATCGGTCTTTTTTTTTGTTTTAGGAAAATCACAGCAGACGGCCAAGTCTGTCCCCGACAAATGCGAACGCGGACGATCGGACCCCGAGCAGATCGCCGTCGCACGTGATACCGGAGAATGCGACACCGAACGTGCCCTCGGCGACTTCGACGCCCCGAAGTCGAAAATCCTCGACGGAGTCGAATTCACACAGTTTGAACGACAGCTCCCAAAGGACGGTGGCCGCGGATAGTAAAGAGATCGTGATTCACGACGCAGATAAGAATGGTATTATTCCAACTGGATCGCCGAGAACCAACAGAAAATGCTCGAGAGCCAGTGTCTATCCATCCGGCACGAGTTTGACCGCCAGAGACGCTTTCGGTAAGCTCTTGTCGGAATCACGATTTTTTATACCTATCTACCATTTCATTTATAGTCTTCTGCACTATTTAGAAACTCTCCTCGAAAAGTAATTGCTAGGCTATTGACGATGTGACATTCAGTGAAAGGTCACTTGATGGGAATAGAGACAGTAGCCATGTTGAATTACTTCAATGTCTTTGCTACGTATCCGCTAATCATTACTACTATATATTCACTGTAGATTCACTGTGCATTCAGTATACATTCAATATAGATTCACTGTGCATTCAGTATACATTCAATATAGATTCACTATACATTCACTGTAGATTCACTAGAGATTCACTGTAGATTCACTGTAGATTCACTATAGATTCACTATACATTCACTACACATTCGTTATGCATTCATTACGAATTCACTATTCACTATACATTCATTATGCATTTCTTGCGCATTCATTATGAATCTACTATGCATTCACTATGAATTCACTATGCATTCACTTTACATTCACTATATAATACGGGAAGGTTGACGAATTTGAACCATCGCCTACGTTGGACAGGTGCCTGAGAAAGAGGGGATGGTTCCTGAATTTTGACCATCACCTACGCTGGACCACTACCGTAACTTGTCATGCATTAACAATTTGCTCCGTATGATAGACAATATGTGCTGTTTGTATACCTACTAAGTTAATCAATATAATCATCACTATCAGACACATATTAGCGTATAGACAGACCTAGGTAATTGCCTAACTTCAAGAACCTTCCCCTATATGGAATTTTATGTATTATATAAAATATTTCTTTTCAGAGATATTTATACTTTCAGTAGACGTAAGTTCGGCTGAAATTGTTTCTCGTAATAAACGAGATAAGTAACGTTTCTGTTGAAATTTAAATGTGCTGTCAAACGTAATGTTTAAAACGACAGAAAGACAAACAGGAGTGGCTCTATTCTGAAAACTTCAATTCTTCGATTTTACAATCGATATTTCTTCGTACGTTATGTATAAATGGCTGAAATAGGCCTGAGTCAATAAACTACGATCAATATGCATACGAATGTCACTGTGTCACGAATCGTGGACATTAATAATGCACGGACAGCTCGAGCGTGATTAAAAAGTCCCCACGTTTGTCCCTTCTGTTTTTATCCAATTTTTTATGTACTTTGCAAAATGCAATCTTCTCTGACGAAGAACAATGTTCTCCAAAAACAACAAAATTAATTTAACGTGAATATTACGTAAAATCTACCTGTCTAGGATTTATAAAAATCATTATGTTTCAAAAAAAATAAAGCTCCGGTAACAATTTTTGTTTCTACGAAATGTTTGATACTGTTAAAACTATTAATCAAATTTTTAATGTTCACGATTTTCGCACTGGTCCTGTAAACATCCTGTCCATAGTTCAGTACACTTTTCAAGTAACCATTTCAACGATATAGTACATACATATTTTATATTTAATTCATAGAGTCTTCTAATATCTAGTGATGAGAAATTTCCGTGCAACAGGTGCTTAAGTATGTACCTACTTCTGTTCGCAAAGTTCACACTTAAACTCTATTCAAAAGCTGTAGGATTCCTTGAAAAAAAATATGATGGAACACATGAAAAGATTATTAAAGATACTTTGCATACATACTTGGCTAGTACGAACAAGGCAATTTGTATTTAAACAATTATGTTATAGCGTGTCGAATCGATCAGCAGCTCTAATAGAGATAACAGACTGTACTCCCTGTTGGTAAATTGATCGTTACGTTATAATAACTTGAACAGGTCACAACCGACGACACATTGTCAGGTATCTGTAAGTTTCAAAATTAACACCTAATAATATACTAACATATTTGCATAAAAATTTTCGTACACCCAATAACAAATAAACTAACTTTCGATAGTTTTTCTTGAAAACATTGTACGCCATTTTGGTGTTCACCACGATGAACAGTTTAAAGGAATTATGATTCTTTAAAAGTCCGAGAATTCATAGCGTTCTCAAAATATAAGGAAACATTTAATCGTTCAAATAACGAAAACATCGTACACAATTTTGATTCCGTCACAAACAGTTCAAAGAAATTATTATTCTTTAAAGGTCCGAAGCTCACAATGCCAGATACATCGGACGACAACCCGTCATTGATAAATACACCGATATTCCCGGATGAAACACCAAGGGACGATGCAATGTTACAGAAGGATGCGTCCCCTGAACCGGAAATCGATCCTGACACGTTATATTTTCGGTATGTAAGAACCATGAGAAGATGTTTCGTTCTTATTAACACTATGACGACCGATGACGTGACAATGGCATCATGATGCGAGTGTCAACTGGTACTTTTCAGATACTCAAAGTTATGGAATTTTTTTACATACATAGAAAAAACGATATTTCGTTGGTTCTTGACAAAAACAACCTTCCACTAATGATAGTTACCCGCGAAGCTATTACTATGTATTAAACAACCGGGTGGTCATCATAATATCAAGCAGACATGGGCAAGTTTGTTGTCTAAATAAAGAGTTTCAAATAACGACTAAAAGATATAAAAAAATATTTTACAATTTTCACACGATTAAACGTGGAAACTCAAATTTTCTACAATAAAATAATATTTCCTCTTGAATAAGTAGGCACTTGGCAAAAAATTATTTAAACTCATTAACTGTTTAAAAGCCCAGAATGACGATCTTATATACTCCTCCCTGTTCGCTATGTATTATTCGAATAGAATTCGGCCCAATTCGAGTGTTATTAGGTGAACGTAGACAATGAAATTCCCGGTGAATGATTGAAAGACTAAAAAGGAAGCTCAATGCGCCCGTTTCCGCGGTTACAATAGATTACACATTTTTGTGTCACGGTCGTGTGTATAGGTACCCCTGCTACAAGTGGGATAGAGGCGATAAATGAAAGACCATTCTTAAAGGCCATTTTTATTTTTAGTCCGCGCCGGGCTATATCGGTGAGCCCTGGTACGTCCGTAAATAGTGTGCTTTTGCATTATTAATTTTCCCATCGTTTCGTGTCCTATCGGTGGCTCCCGTTGAATTCACAGAATTGCGATTTTATCCTTTGATAAGCTACCGCGCTGGTTAAGGCACTATTTTCGTTCAAGATAACGTCAATTTTTACCTTTACGAGAATGTCCCGGGAACACGATTCCACTGGACACCGTTCGATTGCCATTCGAAAAGAAAGGTCTTTTATGAATATTAAATAATTATCGAAAAATATTGGTAAAACAGTGTTGATCACCAACTTTCAATCTATGTCTTGAATCCTCTTTATTTTTTAACCACTCGTCTAAGGGTGGCAGGCACTGCACAAGCCAGAAATCGAGAACATTTATCGAAAATTCAACTTATACCCATTTTCTTCTTTCGATCAATGACAATGAATATCGAAGGTGTGATTCGTAATAAATGAATCGATTAGGCAACTTTACTTCACTAAACAAAATCATAGCGACCAAGATTGGGATAAATGTTAGTTAACCATTTAAGGCCTGAATTATGTTATCGTTATCTTTTTATCGCAATTTTGATTCCAGATAAATTTGAAAACTGTTCAAATATGATATTCCAATTTTTTTTTGTATTCTTCGTACTTTTTCAAGTAGCTAAATAGGGTGTCTCTGAGTGCTGGCACAATTTTATAGCATCTCAGAGGACTTCAAAGAAGTACAATAAATACTTAAGTCCCAGCCAGATTCTAAGTACATTGTTTCGTGACTACATTTTACTGTAATATAAGTGGTAGGTACTACAGAGTGTGTACATATCGTTAGAACATAAAGGGTTAACGCGTATCGTGACAATATCAATTCACAGTGACGGCAGAAGACGGATCGACAAAGTGTTGGTGTATCAAGATGACGTTAACGGGGTGCTGACGGAAGTGGAGACACGTAGACAGGAGCAGAGACGGGTTTTCCAGCAGAATCTATTGAAGGAAGGTCTGCAATTGGAACTCGAGCCAAAAGAGAATTCCTTCGACGGGAAAACGTATTTCTTGAAGCTGCACATACCGTGGAAAATCAAAGTGCAGTACGCGGAAGTGATGAACCTGAAGCTGCCTACCAAAAGATTCATCACCATCTCTGTGAAGGCTTGGGTAGGATAATGGAAACGTTTAGTTAATTATACGGTACCGCGTAGGAAAATAAGAAAGCAAAGATGGGTTCGACACTGATACGTTAACATTAAAACCACCAAAATGACGGATTTCAAATTCCTTTGTCAGACCATTAACAGTATCGTAACGCCCTATTTACATTCCCTTCGTATTCGCGTAAATCGTCAGATTATCTAACTCGTTTATTTCCGTCAGCAAGGTAACGAGGACGCGAGACAGAGACCGAAACTTTGGGAGAAATGGATGAAGTGGATAAAATGGATGAGAAAGTTACACACCTGGGACACCAAGAAGTATCCGGAGGAGCCAAGTTTTTACAAAAGCACCGATTCCGGTGACCGTGAGGAGAGGTAATAGAGCATATAATATTGTCCAGACGGTTTCCTATTCACCTTGACCAGTGCAGTGTCTCCGTTACTTCCGATAATAGGAAACAAAAACCGTAAAACTGTGTCAGGAAAAGGGTTAATATTTAATATAATAATATTAACAGAGAATTGAATTAATATTGTTTCAACGTGTAGGTTCGTGGTAAAGGACAGGGACACAGCTTACACACCTGCTCAAAGATCGCTGATAGTGATGCAGATATTGCTGAGAGCTAGGTACGACGAGCATCACGATAAATCCGGTATCCGTAGACTTTTGGCGGACGGCACTTATCTCGATTGCTTTTCGCTGCACGAGGGACCATACAATAAACCGGTCCTCAACGGGGAGATCCTCGACAGATATTTATTGTACTTGATCTGGGCCAGACCTGGACAATGGTAATTCTACGAAGAAACTCTTCGACACGAATTGTGTATACCTTCTGTGTCCAATAATTATTTGGATGATTCGAAAATCAAATCTAACTACCCTAGAAGTTATGAACCCTTTCTTTTTGTATCGCCCTGTATAACGAGGAACAATGTTATATATTGTTCTTAGGTATAAGAAACAACCCCTTTGGTTGATCAGACGGTATTTCGGTGAGAAAGTGGCCCTTTACTTCGCATGGTTGGGCTTCTACACGAAATGCTTGTACGCGCCAGCGATCGTTGGGCTGCTCTGCTTCATGTACGGCGTGTTCAGCATGGAGAGCAGCGACAACATTCCCAGCAAAGAGATATGCAATCCAAAGATAGGGGGTAATTAATCTTGAAATTTTATTCTCTCGAACGATTCTGCTTATTTTAGGGATGTTCGATTCCTATTCGATTCTTCAGAAGGTCGATTCTTTTGGGTAACACGACACTGCCCTGGCAAAAGTATGGGACTAGATCTTATAATTAAAAAAAGAGGAAAATATTATTATATACAGAGTTAATGAACGTCACGTATTCAAACTGATGGGAAGTGATTTGTATACAGGGAGCGTAAGATAAGAACAAAATATAGAAATAAATTTTTTTAACTTACAGCTTATTTTTCGTGAAAATCGACTTTGAAGATCTGCTAGATTTATTTATTTATTTATTTATTGATATACGGGTATATAACCCTTCAGTATAAAATCCAGTTATAATCAGTCAATTGTAGGTAACAATGTGTTGTATAACCTATGCCTAAAAGAGACTTGGGAACTAAAGAAGTCCAGCGATACACAAAATAAATTAACATTCATAATTATGCGGTTTATGCAATTATATTGTCCATAATTCGTACGGTAGGCTTCTGGAAGTAGTAGGACATGATTTCTTCTGGATGACGCTGACGTAATTAACTTAAAGCGGGATAAAATATCAGGACACATAATGACGTCATCAAGCACTTAATGCGCCAATAGTAAGTCAACATAATACGTCTGCGTTCCAGAGAAATTTAGAAATTACGAGTGCAGAGGGTTAAGAATATACGGGGACAATTGAGTAGGCCTGGGCTAGCGCGTCTGTTCATTGCAGTCCGTTTCTACTTACTACTGTAGTGAACACATGTTCCAGATTAATATTCAAAGTTGATTTCCTCGAAAACGGAGCCTTAAATGAACAAATTTTATTCCACATTTTGTTCTTATTTTTTTATAAGGAATCACCCTGTACCCGCTTGTACATCTTATTCGATCGCACCCTGTATATACCGATTCCATAACTCTTAATTTATCGTAACAGAATAATGAGTTACTTTTCGATCAATCATGAACTCTGGTCCCTTACTTTAGGCCATCATGTATTATCTGCTATACATAACAGTGACGTGTTACCCAAAAGAATCGACCTTCCGAAGAATCGAATCGGAATCGAACATCCTTAACTTATCCCCAATTAAAAATCGACACTTTTTTTCCTCAGGAAATATCACATTGTGCCCCAACTGCGACAGAGTGTGCTCGTATCAGTACCTGGGCGAGTCTTGCATCTTCTCGAAGCTATCTTACCTGTTCGACAATCCAGCCACCGTATTCTTCGCTATATTCATGTCCTTTTGGGGTACTATACTCGAAACGTATAAAATGTTTCTGTCGAAAGTCACGCGTAAGCACTCGGTAAAACGGATGCTGTTTTCTATTCTTGCGCAGCCACGACGTTTCTCGAGCTATGGAAACGACGCCAGGCAGTTTTGATCTGGGAATGGGACCTTCAGAACGTCGAGAGCGACGAGGAGCCCAGGCCGGAATTCGAGACCACGGTGAAAACGTTCCGAATAAATCCTGTGACCAGAGAAAGGGAACCGTATCTACCGACTTGGTCCAAGGCGGTGCGTTTCTTGGCCACCGGATCCATAGTGTTTTTCATGGTAATTATGAAGGTGTCTAAATGTGACGGGATGGATACATAAATAATGGGAGGGGGGAATTCTCGAAGTGATATTTCAGTATTACTATCGGCAGAAGTTTCCGAAGACAGATCAAGTATTGCTGGACTCCTATGTTTATTTATTTATTCATTTACACGGGTAGAGAATAACCCTTTGGTGTACAGGTAATATGACAGGGGAAAAAAGAAAAAAAGAAAGTCATTTTGGTGAACAGAAAGAATGGACGTTATTGATTTAGTAGTTGAATAAGAGATTGCTTAAATTCACAAGGTGTATTTCTGAAAAAATCAAGAGATTGACATTAGGTGTTGGAAAGTATATAATGTAATGTACATAATAAGTATATAATGAAAAATACATAGCTGATTGAATATTAGGTATACAAAAGAGTATTCTTCTACTCCGAAGACGAACACTCTGTATAATTAATTAAGTAACACAAACGACATTTGCGTTTAGATATGTGTAGTTCTGGGTGCAGTGTTGGGAACAATCATTTATCGAATATCGCTGGTGGCCGTGTTCTACGGCGGCGGCGGACGGTTCCTGAAGAAACACGCGAAGATCTTCACCTCTATGACCGCCGCCCTGGTGAACTTGGTGATCATCATGATACTGACTCGAATTTATCATCGTATGGCACGATGGATGGTGAACATGGAGAACCCGAGGACTCAGACAGAATACGAGTCAAGCTACACCTTCAAGATATTCCTCTTCGAGTTCGTCAATTTCTATTCGTCCCTGATCTACATCGCCTTCTTTAAGGTTCGTAACACAATGAATGAACCCATAATCCCCATGTGAACAGGACTTTTGTGTTCGCGAAACTCATAGTAACAGTGAGATCTGAAAGTCTTCTGTTTTGAAAACATTTTCCTCTGACAACGAAAATTCGAGAAAACAAACGAAATTTCTGTAGGTATTAGATTATCGCGATTCTAATGATAACATTGCTAAACTGTAAAAACTTAAGTTATCAGAGGTTAAGAAAATCACTTTGTCGATCATCGTAAAATCGTTTTGCACTGATTTTATCTACCAACTGGGATATTTGTATTCATTTTGTGGGCTTTTTAACACTAGAACTAACGACGATATACGCGTATTTTCTTCGATCGGTGGATAAACGTGAAAAACTTCTGAAAATTTAGAAATTTAGAAATTGACCAATAACAGGTGCAAAAGATCTGAGAAAATGTATTGTCAAAACATTTTAATCGCCGTTGTAAGAGTGTATTGACAATTAATTTTGACTTGCTTGGTAGTTCTAGTGTTAAATATACAGTGAGAAAGTAAGTTGAATAAACAGGGAGAAAGAAATGAAATCCTAAGTTTTATTAAAATTTAGCTACCTAAATTTCAGAATTTAGCTGAATCGTAAAAATTGCAGTTTGGCAGCTTTAGTATTGGAATCAGTCATATAAATTTATCGAAATGTACGACCAAATTCTATAAGCCGATGATTATATTGTTTATGAAACTATTAAGTACTAATTTGTAGGGAAGATTCTTCGTCCATCCCGGGGACGCGGACGCAAGGGTCTCCGAGTTTTATCGAATAAAAACGGACGTTTGCGATCCAGCCGGTTGCCTGTCGGAAGTTTGCATACAGCTCGCCATCATAATGGTGGGGAAACAGTGCTTCAACAATATCGTGGAGATATTATCGCCGAAACTGTGGAATTGGTGGCGGAAAAGGAGTCACGTGGCCGCCACGAAGGATCACGCTAGACCTTACACTTGCTGGGAAAGGGATTACCAGTTGCAGGATCCGGGAAGGCTTGCTCTCTTCGACGAGTACTTAGAGATGGGTAAATGGCATTTCAACTGTATGCTCATGCTTTGTTTTTGAGAAAAATAGCATTGAAAATTCGATTGGTGAACGTAATACTACTAACAAAAAGATGGCCGCAATATCAAAACATTTGGGACACGTCGTAAACTTCTATCTTTTTACAAATCATCTCCTCCACCCTCAGATTTTGTCATAGCAAATCTTGTCGTTTGTATCTTCAAAAACAGACAATGCAGTAAAGGATACCTTATTTCATATTATAAATAAAGAATTCTTCTAACGTAGACGAAAATGATCTATTAAATCAGTTATGGTAGTATCACTTCAATCACAAAAATGTTCTTTAAATTGTTGCACGATTGTTTTCTCGTCAACAGTATTGCAATACGGATTTGTGACGCTGTTCGTCGCTGCGTTTCCGTTGGCGCCATTGTTCGCGTTGTTGAATAACATCGCGGAGATACGTTTGGACGCTTACAAGATGGTGAGAGAGGCGAGGAGGCCGTTGGCGGAGAGAGTTCAAGACATCGGTGCATGGTCTGGCATACTTCGTGGCGTGACTTACGTCGCGGTGGTGTCCAATGTATGTAAAACTAAAAAAAAGTAACGTACAGTAACGGACAAAAAAGTTCAGCACTATTCGCATTCTTCGAATAGTCTCAACTCCATTTGATATTCTTTCTTGCAGATCGTGCACATTAGTTACTTGCATTGAATGCACAATAGTTTTCTTTAATGGCCCCAAAAGTAAAGATCGTGCACTCCGAACAGTTTCTTTAATCATCCTTAACTCAAAAAAGTACGACGACATGTTGTTTACTTAAATTTTTTACTTAAATTAGTGTGAAGATTTACCCCCTAAGGTATCGACATACATTTATGAATCACCCTGTATATGACAAAGACATATTGAATTTTTAAGTTGACGTTACAAAACAATGAACAAAAGCTCGAAGGTCCCGAGGTGTAACGCTGACTTATTAACCCTCATCCGTCCCTCATTGCCCCAACTTAATTTGTCCCTTGGTGTTAAATTCACCCAGTGGCAAAAATTAATATAATGAAGTGATAAATAGGTGAATTTGCAAATTCTTTAAAGTAAAAATCACGAAGCTTCAGCTTAATTTACTTACACATGACAGAATAACGTCGTTTCTTAGGACAAAAATGTGTCAGATTGGCACAAGGGACAGATGAGGGTTAATAAAGTTTAGCACAGTGATGGAGCCTGAAATTCTGAAGCGAATGATATTTGTTTCAGCCGCATATGGCCGTTAGTTTATGCTTTATTTAATGTTCACTGCCGAGGAGCCTTCGAACACACATCGATGATTTGCTGTATCAGCATGGTGTGCATAAATCGTATTAGTGAATACAGCTCTATGTCACGTTACCTTATCCCTACCAGTAGGGAATTCTCCAGCAACCCTGGTACTCCCCATCAGTTATATCGTTAATTATTATTATATTTTGCATAGGCGTTCGTCATCGCGTACACGTCCGATTTCATTCCGCGTAGCGTGTACGCTATCGTGTACTCGCCGACGAACGATTTGGTCGGTTACATTGACAGTTCCCTGTCAGAATTCAACACGTCCGACTATCGGGAGGACATGAAGAGCGACATGGACGGTAAGCATCCGGAAACATGCCAGTACAGGGGTTACAGAAACGGACCTCAGCATCCGACCGATCCGTACGGTCTAAGTCCACAATACTGGCACGTGTTCGCAGCTCGTTTGGCCTTCGTCGTTGTGTTCGAGCATGTCGTAAGTTTCTGTGTACTTATCTGTACATTTTTTTTCTCCATTACAGCATTTTGAATTAGTTGAAAATATTAATCATTCCAATTAAATTGGTAAAATTGATAAAATGTATAAAGCGCCATATCGGGCCCTAGCTAAACACGACTCCAAACGCATGAGCTATCTTAAAACTGGATTTAATAAAAATGTATAGTATTAATTTTCTTTGAGCCCAAATGATATTCTGTTTTACTGTTATTAATATTTAAGATTTACTAAGAATAAAATTTAAGATACATAGATATTAAGATACACTAAGAATAAAATTCCTTTTGTATCTGGGAAATTGTTAACGATAAGGTAATGCTTGAAAGTACAGTCGTCAAAAAAATCGTAAGGCAAGGGGTTAAACAAGAATTACTAATGTACATGTTAAAGTCCGTCGCAATCCGTGGCACCGACAATCTATAAATGGGCCTTAACACTAGAACTACCAAGAAAGTCAAAATGACTTGTCAATACACTCTTACAACGACGATTAAAATATTATGACGATACATTCTCTCACATCTTTTGCACCTTTTATTACGATACAAAAGTGAAGAAATTAGTAAATTTTTAAATTACTAAATTTTCAAAAGTTTTTCACGTTTATCCACCGATCGAAGCAATCGTCGGTAGTTCTAGTGTTGAATCGTCTCTTCGATGATCCAGGTTTTCGCCCTGACTGGAATAATGAGCTACGTAATACCAGCGGTGCCCCACTCGTTGGCGACCCAACTGCAACGCGAACGGTTACTCGCGCAAGAAGCCAAGTACGAGAAGGGCCTGAAGGGCCGAGAAAACGAGGACGATATCCTGTCGATGCTCAGGGACGCTGGAAGCAACGGTAGAACCGGGGGCGGCGGTAGAGGCAGCTGGGCGAGACGATTCAGTAAGTTAAGCGACGGATTGGACGCCCACGTAGACGTGGGCGTCAGAATCAACAAAACCAGCGATGGTTCAACTGTCTGGGAAGTCACATAATTCGTACGTGATCAAACGATTTTTGCCACTCTGACTGCCAATATCACAAGTGTCACAAATTTCCACTAGGACAAATTGCAAAGTACATAAAGATGTTACAAGAAATAATGTTTTTTTCGTTTTTTGTCACATTGAAATCATGCGATCCAATGAGATTTATTACTTTTTAATATTTAAATATGTATCTTTGTTGAAATTTTATAAGCTTATCGTTTTCATCATTATACACGGATTGTTTGCACAATGATATAAGCGACGATGTTTAATTAAATTATTCTCGATTGAGCAAACTGCAAATACTTGCGGGTCACCTAAATGTGAACGATGTGGCAGTCAAAATGTTAAACGAACGATTGCGTTTCGCTCACGAAAAGTGTGCTTGAACATTTTTTTAATACTTTATTCATTAACGAAAGACTTCTTACGGTACTCCATTAGGAAATGCTTAAGGAATGTTTTATGTGTATATAAGACGTACTGAAATATCAAGTACAAACTTTATATATGAACGAATGAAGTAATAATTGTGATACATTAGGTAATGTAGGTGTATAATGCATATATTTATGCACGGACTTAAGTAAGAGGAACAATGTTTCAATATTATGCGTAATGAGGTGACAAATGCCAAACGTATTTAAAAAACCATAGTCAATCGTCCACTTACGACTCATTGTACTTGATTCTGAAAAGATGTTAATAGTGCTTAAACAATATATGATTAATGATAAGTGAGTGACTCGTGATACAATCAGTATTAATTAACAGCAACCCTCTTCTGTACTGCTACGAACTGTAAACGCTATAAATGTATTTTTTTAAATGTTTTCTGAAAATAATTTTACATAGGGATTAGTGTTGCAGATAGAAATATCATCAATTATTGAAATGACAATGATGTTAGTGTTCCTAATTCTTGGATCTCGTAGCTTCTTAACCGTATATAATTACTAAAAGACGTTTCAGCTTCGTACTTTAAATTAAAATTGTGTATTTAAGTAGCATTATAATAGTTACCAAATAATTTCCCATGATTTCAGATTTTTTTTATGTTGAAAGTAAACGTTATTTTTATAATTTTGAAAAACTACCCACACTCACACTTAACTGTAAGAGAAAATTACGAAACATTAATGTACGATGAAAAACGTGTCTAAAATATGCAGAATGTGATAAATGTATAAGATTTATCGGTTAATCGATTAATTCTTAATGCATTAAAAAGCGTAGAATGTAAAGCTAACGTATAAAAATGTCTTTTTTATATCTGACCATGTGTGTGAATTTAGACAATTATTTTTAAATGTATGTACTGTATAAAAGTAGTCGTAGAAAGTATAGAGTGAGAAAAACTACTAGTATTATTATTTAACTGCTGGAATTATTTTTATAACTCCGTCGAAATAAAATGTACAGTACTTAAATTCTTGTGTTGCATGGCGAAAAAACCGTTGCACGTGGGAAAGGCGAAGAACTTTCCCGGAGAGCTTACACAATATACTCTTTATTGTACATAATTTCAATATTTCATTTTCCGTCTTACGCTTGACATTATTACAATAATTACTATAGAATATATTTATAATAATATACATGTACATATTTACTTCTTTGCTATTGATTCAATTTATATGTATAATTCTATATGTATATTGGCCTATGATTCATTCCATACTGCACTTTCTTGCGTCATCTGCTTCCTTTTAAAATCTAAAAGTGTATCACAGTTGTGTCGAGGGATAGACAGGGATTTTAAAGAAAAGGAGACCGTTCAGACGACCGAAATCGATACGTAGTCCATTCAGTCAGATATCGGACCTGATGGACACAAATAATCTCAATGTCCATAATTCGGCAAACAGCTGCGATGAAATGTATGTTCTACATTCCTAGTCTATAAAAGCGACTTTTTATCCTACTATAAAACTGTCTATGTTGTTACGAAAAATAAACCGTCGTATTACATTTAAAAAAAAAAGACAAATCCTAAAAAAAAGAGTAATCACCATTATGCGCAATTTCAAAAACGAGGAAGAACTTCGTATATGTTTCTTTCGTTTTTTTTTTTTCTTTAAATTTAATCTAGCAGTACGATAATCTGCTATAATCTGTTTCGACTATAATACACACTCTCGCGAGTAATATTATTGCTTTTGTACTAACGTTACATGAATAATCTCAGAAAGTGTTACGGTGGAAAGTTTATCGTTACATTATTACTGTCTACAACTTAACATTTTTCGTAGCCAGTATATCAGGTATGATTAGCAAAGTTGTTCACTATGCAAATTCTTCTTTTCGGTACAAATTGTAAAACATAGAAAAACTCTTATGCATCACGCAGCGATAAAGAAGAATCGAATATGTAACACCGTCAAACTTTGTTCGTTCTGTTAATTTATAAAAATATTTTAGATTTCAACAACAAACGTTAATACATTGTTCTTTAGGCATTCTGTACAAATAATTCATTTCGTAAAAAAATCTCTAAAAATATACTATGTGCGTTAAAACATCCTATATTCTCTCAAAAATAAACTTTCAATAAAAATAGTGTCACGCGCATTAAAAGAGAAATCGTAATAAAGGAATGTAACAGCATCTCATCACACATGGGCCGTTGGTTCGTTCTTGTTAAAGGAATCATCTGCTACAATGTATTCACTTACTTACGCGTGTTTCAGATACCGACTACAGAATCGCTGTGAATAGATTAACAGGAAGTCACAGACGGATTCGTTCGTGCCGAGAAAACATTTTGACATTTTGTCTGACAACGAAACATAACGCAGAGGCATTAAATGTACATTGTCAGTCGTATCGAATTTACAACACGTCTCAATTAATCCTCCTGAGTGGACTAAATCTCGATTTCCAAAAGATGTGTTTTTAATTTAGGTAAGAGGTAGGAAGATGTAACACTTAACTAGGTCCAGGAGGAGCATTGAAATTGAACATGGTGGTTGGTGGCCGACCTGGTAAAGGTTTCGGTGGTAGTCTTGGCGTTACTGATCCTGAAATTCCATAAACAATTAGAATCGAGTTTAAAGTGTTCGAAGTGTTTTTTTACTTGAATTCAACTGGGTTCGCGTTTTTCTTTTCTTTTTACCATTAGGTTGCGTAGGTGGAAGTTTCGTAGGACTGGGCCCATTGAAAGACATATGTCTCCGTGCATGAACGGCGCTCGGGCACGTATTTTCCAGGGTAGAATTCCGCCTTGCGAGCAGTGCCGAACTACTTGGATTCAAGGTAGGAAGCCGAGGCGGTAACGTAACTGGGGGCTCTCTTCGCGGCGGCAATGGCGGCGGAGACGTACCGTCCCTTGGAGGAAGTATTGGTGCATTTGGAGCTTGTCTTGCCTATGCAATCAATCGTAAACAATATCTCATGAATGACAGATAAATTATATTCTTTTCCTTCAAGGTGCAACGATTGAGAATTATTTGACGTTTTTCGTGTGATCTTAAAGAAAGCTACATAACCTCTAAACGATATTTTATTGCAGGAGAAAAAAATCAACTGATCGGGTACACGGAAGTCGAAACCGGATTTCTCGCTTTTCGGGCGAGTACTTCGACCAAGTAAGCTACCCGACAGTTGGCTGATTCTCCTTCTCATAACTCATATGAGCTATACAAAGATGGCTGCCCCGATCTACCGCTTAAATTATACAGGACGTCATCAATGGATATTCCTTATGCAAACACAAATCGAAAAGTCCTTTAACGTTTTATAATCTGAAGCTTCATTACCGAAATATTATCAGTTAAATCAATCAAGAAGCAGAAGCCAGTGACTTGAGTCGTGCGCTTTTTGACTGCCTGCACGTACGTGTGAGCTCATTTGACTGCTAATATCTCACAAACGAAGCTTCGGACTACAAAACGGCGAAGGACTTTTCGATTTGTATTTGCACAAGGAATATCTATGTTGCGGATTGTCCCATCTTTTTGGGACACCCTGTACACATAATACATTACCTGTTGCGGTGACTCGCTTATGGAACTCTCTCGTTTCCTATGAGATCTAGGCGGTAAAGGTGGCGGAGGTTGACTTGGAGGTACGTGGCTAGGAGATGGTGGTGGCGGCATCGCTGCACCAGGGCTGCCGCCCGACGATGACATACCAGTCAGAACTCCCATTACACCGATCGTACCGGAATTAAAGCCGAAGTGACTATTTTGCGGTTGATGATGAGGGACAGGCAAGTAACCAGGCGATCCCAATTGAGGACTGCTACCCGGCGAACTGATCGAAAGTCCTGACATGCTTAGAGGACTTGGTGAACCTGGAGGCGGACCTGTACCTGTATTAACAGTAAAGTATGTCTACTACCTATGTAAGCAAATCAGGCAAAGAAATAAAACCTGTTCCTCTGTTCATCTCTATGAAAATGAAGATTTAGAAGAAGCAGCCTACAGTTTCTAAACTAGGTGTGACGTTGTCGCACACAAACCTCCTATTAAGACAGGTGCAAAGACACTGTGGTCCCCTGGGTGAGATACTGTGATGTGTGAGGTGTGTGGAGGAGTTTCCGGTAATTCCGGTGCCGGCGCTTCCGGCGGAGGATCATGTAATCTTACGCTAGATGCTACAGCTTGCAGTGGAGCTGGTAACTTGCTTAAGCTTCTAGCTTTAATGCCCGGCGATTTTAAGTTTAAATCTGGCCATTTACGGGGCTGCGGGAATTAATCACATTAGTTGGTACGTTTCAATGTTATTACACTTCCACTGTTCCGAGCATTCGATAGAACTTACAACTCTAGGTGGCTGCCTACATCCCCTCGGTTCTACTTCTAAGCTTTTATTATATAAATAATTGCTTATATCTGCATCTTTCATATTAGGATCGAAGGGCGATAAGTTCTCGATGAAATGTCTTATTCTGGGCTCCACTGAAAGACAATACGGTTGATTTTGGTACTGTTGAATTTCACCAGTTATTTCTGCCACTTTCCTCCGTTTACTAAAATTTATGAGCTCTGGACTTCCCGGCAAATAATCCGGATTTCCTTCTTCGGTGTGTAGAATGTTGGTCAAGTACATACCTAAGATAAAATTTATTATTACTATTGATTCGTTCAAATTGACATACAATATCCCATATTTTGTTTAAATTATTCACCAAAAAATGGTACACAAGGTGGATTAATAGATCGTAGTTTTTCTTGATATCTTCGGAAATGACCGTTATTCAATTCTCGTGCTTCTTCGAGGGCCTTTTCCAATCGTGCAGGTATTTGCTACAGAGAAATAGCATGTGAAAGTTCATTTGCTACATTCTATTAAGAATACTGCATGAAATAAGATTCCAGAACGTACTTGAAATGTGAATTTTAACCTAAATACAGATGCAGATCCCATAGCACTAACAATTGCTAATACACCATTAAAATTATTAAGATCTTGAAGCACCATCATAATTTCGACTGCACGCGATACAATTGCTGCTCGCTCTTCTAAATTTTCAGCTTCTACTATAGTTTTTTCAAGCCACCGAGTAAACTATAAAACAAACACATGATGACTGCATTTTATAGAAACATATATTATGTACAAATTTAGAGAAAATTCAGAACGTAACTTACATTTGTCGTGTGTTTTATCATTTTTAGTAGATTCGGAGATGTCTTTTCTTTATCTTTCTTCGTCCATACAGTACCTACTAATTCTGAAGGCTTTACAGTTCTATACAATTCAAACTCTAAGAGTGTTAACTGTCTTGCTAATTCAATCGGATGTAACTAGAATTTCAAGAAATTATTTGTATAATCATCTTCCTATTATAAACAATAATTGCACACGGAAGTTTTACCGTTAATATTCCCCATTCTTCTTCAGGAACTTTTAGATGCCACTCGATAGATGGTGGAGATCGTTCGAAGCTAAACGTTTTAGGTCGTTGTTCTGAGGGTTCACACTTTCTCTGTACAATTTTTATTACTGAATCGACCCATTTTCTCATAGACTTTCCGCTTACTGTATCTAGAAATACTTGTAACCTTTCCAAAAGATTCCTGTCGCGTTCGAAATCATAAAAATGGTGATCGACCTATGTTTAAATAGAATTCAAATAAATATTAAAAAGCTTAAACTAAAAATATGTTAGAATAAATATATTTAAAATATTACGAACCCAATGTCTCAAAACATTTAAAACTCTGAATTGCACTGGTTGACAAAACTCTTTTCTATATCTCTTCCAATCTTCTCTGGCGGTTGTTTTACAACCAGACGGTTTTTCCTCTTCACCATAAACTAACGAAGGATCTGGTATGTCAAATCTTTCAATTAATAAAGTCAATAGTTCCTGAGGTGAGCAAAAACTCCTGAAAAAGAATAACATTCGTCAGGATTTAATTGTTAAAGGGTACACAAACAACAAATAAATCTACGAACCTATAAGTAGTAAGGAATGTTCGTACAAAAGCTGGGTCAGCGTATATGTGATAAGTTAATCTTTCTACCAATTTAACCAAAGTTGCACCCTTAAGTAATGGAACACCACCGTTTTCGCGGGCCCCCAAAACAATATTTTCAGGGCCATCCTGTTCGGCAAATTTATATAAATGTGGTGGAGGCAATCTTAAGGGATGTTTTCGTTCTTCGTCCAAAAGAATACTGTCCAACGTTCTTTCTAACATACTCTTTGTGTTCAACATTACAAGATCCGCCATCCAACTATTTTTGTCTTCGACGGATTTGGCAACAAGAATAACATTAGGGTGGTCCCTTGGTGCAATTTCAAAGGCATTTTTTAATTCTATAGAAATAATTACATATAATAATTTGTATAATTTGAATTCTTAATTCAAAAATTACCATTTTTTTCAATTTACCTTCGGTATCCTCCTTATCTATAATATCAACTTTTCTAATAAAAAATCTTTCCTTTAAACGCAGTTCACCTTGGTGAGGTGGATGACCCACCACACCGACTGCTGCCACGGTAACACTAACTCTTTTGCCGCCACTGGGTTTACAAAGGACTAGTAAACCATCGAAAAGAAAGGCCTTTCGTTCTGTTAATCTTCTTCCGTTACTTACTTTTCCTAGCATATCCTCTGCACGTACGGAAAAAAAATATAATAATAAAAATTCATCGCTACATATTCGAAAAAGTAAATCTTCAGTGATATTTGTTCGTACCACGTATAAATTCGTTGCAACATTGTCCAACATCCCGTTGATCCCACCCATCAACAGTTTTTTGTAATTCGCTAGTTTTCTCTAACGCTGCTTGTCGCCTTGCTCTACTCTGCATTCGCAGACCTGTATCTTTTTTTGGAAGACTCGCCATAGATTTTAATAATTCCATCTGTAGTGGTCTTAAAAGACCTGGTAATTGTTCCAAAGTTTCACCATCTTCTAAGTTTGGTGTACGTTTGTGTAATACCTAACCAAAATGATATTGTATGTATTAGATGAATACATATGTATCTATCGATTAAATATAAAATGTATAAATACAGGTTTAATATACCTTTATGTAGTCAAAGTACAAAAAACAATGCCATATTGGTTGTAATAAAAGTTTTGGCAAATAATATTTGACAGCTTCTTTAAATCCATGCCCCGCTGCTCGTAGTGCAGCATTAGCTTCAGGTCTCGACAATAAATTTGTTAAAACTTCTCGACTAGCTGGACTATTAATGTCTTTTGCATACCTAATATATGTATGGTTGTAAAAATTCGTGTTCTCTATGGATATATGTATGTATACATACAATTATTAGACATTTTTATACGTACTTTATATAAACATCAAATTCTGCTGCTTCGGCCAGTTCTTCAAAACAGGAGCCAACTGTAGGCGTTTGTTTTTCTTCTGTAATTTCCATTATGTCTTCTAAACTACCAAGTAATGTTACAGTAACTTCATAAATATCCATTATATTACTGAAGAGTGTTTCAAGTTCAGTTCTATCTTGTGTTAGCTTTGCAATTTCTTCACGAAATACCTATTCATGGAAGAAAAATCTTATACTATTTTCTTGCATTAATGGTATAACAATTAACTGTGAAAGTTACCCTACCTTAATGATCATATGGAGATCTCGCAAATAGTGACGTTCATCGTGTATGAGATCCCGGACAGATTCTTCATAAGTTTGGGAAACAACCGCGCCTAAGCCACTTTGTGGACCCTCCGCATAATCATCTTGATAAAACAAGTCCATTAATACCTGTTAAAAAATTGATAATTAAAAATAAATTTTAATTTATGAAGTTAAGCGCTACATCTATAACCGAATGTAATTGAAATTTCTATAACTGCAAAAACGTAATTTGACGATTATTAAACATAATTATATTACCATATCTGCGCACATTGCAACTCTTATGTCTTCGCAAGATATTTCCACATGGCGTATATTCTTGACATAGTTTCCAGCTAGCTGAAAAAAAAATAATCTTTAATATTTTTAGGAGTTGGAAGAGATAAATGGCACAAAATAGCAATTTAAAGTAACAGAATATCAATTGAATTCAGCTAGCTTTCCTTATGCAATTAATGTTAAAACTCTTTTATAGTTAACTGTAACTATTACCAACCTTCAAAATATCTGCAGAGATATATTCCAATACTCCTACCACGAAAAGACTAACTTGTAAATCAATTTTCTGCTGTAATACTTCCTGATAAAAATAAACAAAATTATAATATTTATTAATGAATGCACAAAGATACAAATATAATACAACTACTTTAATACATTCACATTTTGTAATAACTTTTTTACCTTTTGTAATAGCTGATGAATTTTGTCAACTGGAAGAACTAGTGGTGATTTCTTTTTTCCCTTTTCCAAAGCATCTCTTGCATCACGAAGTGCCCATTTGTCAATGGGAGTGGGAAATGTGCGTCCGACTCTTTCTTCAACATCTTGTGGTGTATGTGGAGGAGGATGACCGCACAGCATACCCAACAACCTTAAGATCAAACTCTCGACATAGTCTAAAGCATCTTGTCGTGCTTCAAGACTAGGGTGTACTTGTTGCAATACCTATTTTATTTTAATTGTTCATTAGACTATGCCAATTGTTATAAACAATCCTAATTTGGGATCCTTCACCTCTTAACTCATGATTAATAGTTAAAGTAATGAAAATTTAAAAAATTAAGAAGTAACTAACAATAGTATTATTACCAATCAATTTTTCGGACTATGGTTACAATATTTCATTGAAAAGTACATGCACAAAATACTTTGTGTATAGTTGATCATTTGTTGCAATAAAGAATCAAATAATGATTCGCTTTAAATGATTAATATACAATGAAGTACTTCTTAAACAAGGGCAATCTCTATATTTAATTACATATAATGTTGGGCCACTAGAAACGGGTCACCTTAATGTGTTTGGTTGATTTGATGTTTTAAAAATTATGTTAGCAAAAGATAGATGGTTATTAAGGATTACACTGTACAATATTTTTTCTGTGATCACTGTGTTTGATGCTTGTAATTAATTTTATTCAATTGCCTTCCTAAAACACTACGTACAGTTGTCCTAAATTAATATCACCACCATTTACTTCTTCCATTGAGAAATGCATAGTACATGAGACAGAATTATTTACAACAAAATGTGCGATGCAAACTAGAACATTGAGTAGAAACAACATGTTTGTTTTGTTCTTTTACCTGATACATTCACAATGAACTTCAATTGAACAAAGAAAAACAAATGCAATCATTATCATCATAAGTGATAAAGAAACAACACTTGAAAAATAAATTGGAAAGTATCCATGGTTACTGTATTCATTTTATTTCAAACTATCAATACAACAATAAAAGAATATACCATTTCATTTACAAAAAGAACCACTGATGACATTTAGAAACTTGGAACCAAATGATCTGTGAAAATAGTTTCTTATTGCATCACTTTAGCCCCTTATAACTGTTTATTCCCCCCTGTGATACTTTCTCATAACGTCAGCTTAATGAGAAGTATTGAAGTGGTCTATTTCTACTGGATCATCTTGTACGCAATATTTCAAACAAAGTACTTAAACAGGATCTTTTAAAAGGATAACATGCTACATGCTATATGTTATTTTCATAATATTCATTGTGTCAGTTCAATATAGATTACTGTTAAGCATCTCCTCAAGTTGTGTGCAAGAATTAAACGAGTCTCGCGTAACTGTCAAGGATGTTTGCACTACTATAGGTTTGGTGACAGGATAAAGTTCTAGGTTTCTGAACGGGGACTATATTATGTTCGTTTCACGCGTATCGACAATGACAATGGGTACAACGGAATCCTTAAGTAATCGAATCGACAAGGCCATCGATTGCTCAATGAAACGAGACCCCATCGAAATTCGCTAAGAAGGAATTTACGAAGGCAGGGGATACCTTGCGCAGAGAGTTGACAAACACTCCCTTCCACTTGGCGGCGTTCTCCTCTTTCTGAAAGTCGTAGCCTGACGGCTCGCCCACCACTGACGCCGGCGACGAAAACATCTCAATACACTGGTACAAGGTATCACGCACCCGACAGAATAACGCGCACTAGCTAGAGAACACGCTCCGGAGAGTTCCCGATATTTACAATAACCATTTCGTCGGGAATCACAAAAACTTGACAGAGACGTCTGTCTGTCCGTCAGTCCGTTTTTCTCAGGGCGCAGACATCTCTGTATGTAATGGGACGGCTAAGCGACTCGGTTATATTCCCTCGATACCCTTGCGCCTCGAACACTTATTATTCTTGGAAGCATCTCCGAGGCCAACCCGAGAGTCCCCGAGTTATGCCGTTTGTGCATTTTATACGCCCTTTTACTCGAATTTTTGTCAGAACCCAGCGCGAGCACCACTACTATCAAAGGATACCATTGCGCGACTCGCATCGATCGATAACTGCGATACTACTGTCGCAGCGAGATATTCGTCAACTTCGAGATATCTCGTCGCGCGACTATCGACTGCCGTTCGAGAGATATCTTTTCGAACTTTGTTTAACGTTCTTTAACAAAACGCGCGTTTGATTATAGCACTGATTACTTGTTACGCGTTTTCAACGCAGTGATTGTTCGTCGATAAAGTTGAAAATTAGTGTGTTTTGACAATGTGTTCACGGAAGAACAGACAAGCGTCAGTTTGAATTCGTTGTATGAGCAACGACAATAAAGGATCAAATTTCATGCGCATGTTGGCTCAAGCCATTTCACTATTGTTCACTCTCTTGTCACCAACATGTATTTAATTACAACAGATTGAATCTGGTAGAGGAATCTACAATTCATTACTCACATCTATCGTATGTCCCCAGGAATGAAAATTTCATGAGTGTTCGGTACGTCGAAAAATCATCGAAGGGACCATGGTCGTGAACGGATTCTCTTCCGTCCTTTCGCTGTAAAGTAGACGTATTAGAAAGGAGTCTTGGGTTGTAGTCCCGACGGACCTATTGGTTTTTTTTCGCGTACAAAGCAATTATTGCGTTTAATATTGTTTTTATGAATATGTATATGTATTATTATGTACATTTGAGTAAATTATTTTATTATTCCATTGTTATTACAACAGTTTAACAGTGACAACGAACGCATGTATATTTTCAAATATCGGACTAATAGTATATTTTGATTCTATATTATTACATATAAGTGAGTAATATGTATCAAAAACGTAATCGCAACACAGATTTTTATTACACCACAAACATCACATAAAAGATATTTCGTTATATGGACATTTGTAATAATTAGGGATGTTAACATATAACGAAATATCACTGTAACACTTAAAAAAGTTTCAAAGTTCCATTTATATCATTGTCCTGTGAAAATGTTCATACTTCCAGCAACATTCATATTCCAATCAAAGAATTTACAAAATAAGGAAAAGGAATCTGAAGTAATTTTTTGTAGTTCCATACATCTTTATCTCGAATAATTTTCTAAAACATTCAAAGTACTAGACATTTTTACACCCCGTGAACTGAGAACTGGGGTCATAGAACCCCCGGAGCATGGGTGAGAGACCCCGTGTGGTGAGACCGTGGGGTCATAGAACCCCCATTGGAGGCTCCAGAGACCCGTGTGTTGAGGCATGGGGTCATAGAACCCCCAGTGGAGACGCCAGAGACCCCGTGTCGTGAGACGATGGGGTCATAGAACCTCCGGAGCATGTATAAGAGTTGTGAAAGTGATCCTTTATCGCTGTTGCTCGTATAACTCTATAGCTCGATCGAATGTTGTTCATACAATTGTCACATTGGGACTGACGCTTGTCCGTGTTCCCGTGAACAAATTAGATAATAACCCCAGCAACCATAGCAGTTTCTGCAGATACTACTACAGCCCAAGTTTAAAAGACGTAGGCAGTAGTTAGTTTCTGTAGTAACCTGTTGAACCAGACAACTATAATTAGTATAGGATTGTACAATACTTATACAGTTATATTTAAGACAATTCGATGAAATGAAGCTTATATTACCTGACATATGTTTATTGGAATATACATATATACATATAAATTATAATGATATAAAAGTTTGAAATATAATACGATGCGCTACGGTACAATACGTCTATTCGATTCAATTGCTCCCTTGCGACTACAACATCCTGCTATCCGCGTTCGGCGTAGTGCGCTAATACGGAGGCCAAACATTAAAAACTTTAAACACTTAATTTGTGCTAATAATACTCAAAATTCATGTTTTATCGGTAACGTCGGGTACTGACACTAAAATGGTAAGGGGGCTTCTGACATCCTCGTAGCATGGGACAGAAAATTACATTGCATGTTAGGTCTATTCATATATCTCGTCTGTGTTGACACCGAATTGATAAGGGGCCTTTGGAACCCTCGAAGTATGTGACATAAAACAGCATTGGATGATAGGTCTATTCCATGCCTAGTCGGTGGTACTTTTGAAGCCAGTAATTCAAATTTTTTGCTTTCAAAAATATTATTTGCGAACAGTGCCGTAAGCGTAAACCAAAAATGGCACTTCATGTAAACACCCAGTGACAGATATGTGTAGATATTTGTTTTGTTACCTCAATGTGGTCGCAGATACATATAGATGGCGCTAAGTATAAACTTTTGGAGGGATATCGCAATCCAACATGGGGGCGATTGGTGTTATGCGTTCGTGAACGTCAAGGTGAAAACCGGTGCATAATACATGAATAATTGTGGTTAAATCGACTACATGTTTACGTGAATATTAGATCGATTAGAATATCACTGGCACTGACAGGAGGTAGCTCTGAAGTTCGAGAAAATGTCGAAGACAGACGAAAACGCGGACACAGGGGACACAGGAGATAATTCTAATGGATCATCAGCGGATACCACGTCGTCTCGCGGCGGTGACTTCGAAACGAAGCTCGAAACCGATCGAAGTAAGCGATTTGATTATTTACTGAAACAAACTGAAATATTCTCCCATTTTATGACAAATAATCAGAAAGACAAAGCCGGAAGCCCTTTAAAGATTAAAGCTGGCAGGCCGCGGAAGCAGCAGCCAGAGATCCCAGTAAAAACCGATTCCGGTGATCACAGGCACCGTAAAACCGAACAGGAAGAAGATGAGGAATTATTGGCCGAGAGTAATGCTAGTGTGGCGCCAACCACGCGTTTCGAATCGTCGCCACATTACATTAAATCGGGTGAGTTACGAGACTATCAAATACGTGGCTTAAATTGGATGATATCCTTGTATGAACATGGTATCAATGGAATCTTGGCGGACGAGATGGGTCTTGGTAAAACTTTGCAGACTATTTCACTGCTTGGATACATGAAACACTTCAGAAGCATTCCTGGCCCGCACATAGTCATTGTTCCAAAATCTACTCTGGCTAACTGGATGAATGAATTCAAAAAATGGTGCCCCTCTCTCAGAGCAGTTTGCCTCATAGGAGATGCTGAAACTAGAAACACCTTCATTAGAGATGTTATGATGCCTGGAGAATGGGACGTCTGTGTAACGTCTTATGAAATGGTAATAAAAGAAAAGTCAGTATTTAAGAAATTTAACTGGCGTTACATGGTGATCGATGAAGCTCATAGAATAAAGAATGAGAAATCAAAATTGTCGGAGATCCTGAGAGAATTCAAAACAGCTAATCGACTTCTATTAACAGGAACGCCTCTGCAGAATAATCTCCACGAATTATGGTCCTTGCTCAATTTCCTATTGCCAGACGTGTTTAATAGTTCAGACGACTTTGACTCTTGGTTCAACACAAATAGTTTCTTAGGTGATAATTCATTAGTTGAAAGACTACATGCTGTTCTCCGACCATTCCTCTTAAGACGCTTAAAATCTGAAGTAGAGAAAGGACTAAAACCCAAGAAGGAGATCAAGGTATACATTGGTCTTAGTAAAATGCAAAGAGAGTGGTACACTAAGGTACTAATGAAAGACATAGACATAGTAAATGGAGCTGGAAAGATTGAAAAAATGCGACTGCAGAACATTTTAATGCAACTGCGCAAATGTTGCAATCATCCGTATTTATTCGATGGTGCAGAGCCTGGACCTCCTTACACGACAGACGAACATCTTGTTTACAACTGTGGTAAAATGGTAATCTTGGATAAATTGTTACCCAAATTGCAGCAACAAGAGTCACGAGTTCTTATATTTAGCCAAATGACACGAATGTTAGACATCTTGGAAGATTACTGCCATTGGAGATGTTTTCAATATTGTCGTTTAGATGGCAACACAGCGCACGAGGACAGACAACGTCAGATCAATGAATATAATGCACCTGGAAGTGAAAAATTCATATTCATGCTGTCAACTCGTGCTGGTGGTTTAGGTATTAATTTAGCGACAGCGGATGTAGTTATTATTTATGACTCTGACTGGAATCCACAGATGGATTTGCAAGCAATGGATAGAGCCCATCGTATAGGTCAACAAAAGCAAGTCCGTGTATTCAGGTTTATTACAGAAAATACTGTAGAAGAAAAAATTGTCGAGCGTGCTGAAGTTAAGTTACGTTTAGATAAATTAGTTATTCAACAAGGACGATTAGTCGATGCAAAGCAAACAGCACTGAATAAAGATGAAATGTTGAACATGATCAGGCATGGTGCAAATGAAGTATTCGCATCGAAAGATAGTGCTATCACAGATGAAGATATCGATACCATTTTACAAAAGGGCGAAGCAAAGACAGAAGAAATGAAACAGAAACTAGAAAGCTTGGGTGAATCTTCTCTACGAAACTTCACAGTGGACGCACCCACTGATTCGGTCTACCAGTTCGAGGGCGAGGATTACCGTGAAAAGCAAAAGATTCTTGGGTTGGGTAACTGGATCGAACCACCAAAGCGAGAACGTAAAGCCAATTACGCGGTCGACGCCTATTTCAGAGAAGCTCTTAGGGTATCGGAACCAAAAGCTCCCAAGGCACCGAGACCCCCGAAACAACCTATCGTCCAGGACTTTCAATTCTTCCCGCCACGATTGTTCGAATTACTCGATCAAGAAATTTATTATTTCCGTCAAACGGTAGGCTATAAAGTTCCAAAGAATCCTGAATTAGGTTCTGACGCAGCCAGAATTCAGAAAGAAGAACAACGTAAAATCGACGAGGCGCAACCGTTGACGGACGAGGAGGTCGTCGAGAAAGAAAAGTTGCTCACTCAGGGCTTCACGAATTGGACTAAACGGGATTTCAATCAGTTCATCAAGGCGAACGAGAAGTACGGTCGTGATGACATAGAGAACATTGCCAAGGAAGTGGAGGGAAAGACACCAGAGGAGGTTATGGAGTACTCAGCGGTATTTTGGGAACGTTGCCACGAGTTACAGGACATTGATAGGGTAATGGCACAAATTGAACGTGGAGAAGCGAAAATACAGAGGCGAGCTGGCATAAAGAAAGCTTTGGATGCCAAGATGGCGAGATACCGTGCTCCGTTCCATCAGTTGAGGATAGCTTACGGTACGAACAAAGGTAAGAATTACACGGAAGAGGAAGATCGGTTCCTTGTTTGTATGCTACACAAATTAGGCTTCGACAAGGAGAATGTGTACGAGGAACTTCGAGCCACGGTCCGATCGGCGCCGCAGTTTCGTTTCGATTGGTTCGTCAAATCTCGCACGGCCCTGGAATTACAACGTCGCTGCAACACCTTGATCACTTTGATAGAACGGGAGAACCAGGAATTGGAGGAACGAGAGAGGCAAGAGAGGCGAAAGAAAGGTGGCAACATAGGTGCGAAACCGGCCTCCAAGCGAAAACAAGAGAATCTTCCAGCGCCCCAGGACAAGCCGAGGAAAAAGAAGAAATAAGGACTGAATCGCGAATCCAATTTCCTTGGCTGTCTATTCAGAGAGCATTAACTTGACTGCAACAATCCTCTTCTTTCTTTTTTTAAATCTATTTCCATCATGATGGATTTAAAAAATGTACAATAATATATCAATTAAAATATTTTTAAAATTGCAAAACGATTATTTTACCGTTTTAAAATGTTCTTCGTCCGAAGAACTAACGGCATCATTAAAAATCTGATCAAGTGAACAGTATTCGTCGAACTTTTGCTCTTGTGTCATTTCCTGCGAATCGTTTTTCAGTACAATTACGTTCCAATCGATTGTCTTCTTTTTTTTCTATTTTATTCCAATGGTAATGATATCTAAAGTTTCATGGTAATAGAATAATCAATGGAGTTCTTATTTATTGACACTAATTGGTACAACCGAATTACGGTCATTTGCAAAACGTTTGCGAACGTAATACTGAAATACGTATTTCATACACTGGGTGGCCAGTTTCGTCTTGTAAATGAGTGTGCTTTGAAAACGATCTCGAAGTAAAGATTCGATTGTGAACGAGTGAAAGACACTTAGAGATACAGTTATGCCTTGGTGTGGTTGACGAGCTTTTTTATCACAGGAAAATGAAGAAATACGAACTAAACTATACTTTGTACTGTAATATTAATGTTTTCTACCGTATATATCCTGAGGTTGCGTTTCGAGGTCGGAATAGTTTTTGACATGCATTGGTTTATGTATTTGAAACTGGTTACACACTTGGTACTCATTACGTTTCCCGGCAATGACGAATAAAAGCGAGATATTTTTTTATATACTTTAAATCATCACGAAAACTTGCCTGATGTATATGTACCGCACATACACAACACGAACGTACCTTGATTTAATTTTACACGAATAATACTTGTAACGCAACATTACGTGAACGATTTTTATTTATTTCGCTACGATTTCGGAAGGCATTGTATTTCGTTTTACGAATAAAATACCATATGCCGTATTATATATAAATGTCGGTTAGTGTATTTAACTATAGTTTATACAAAATCAATTGGTCGTTCGAGGTCATTAAAATGAAAGATTACGCTTACTGTACCATTTGGTCGGTCTCGTTTTTCGTTTTTCAAAAATCTGTATAGACTTCTTTGTGAAATATAAAGGATCGTTGATTTTGTTTGAACTATATGAATAATTACCCATCCACATTGGAATCCAAATGAAATACACTGGGAAATTGCAAGAGCACAATTAGTTGACGTAGACAAACTCACAGTTTCTTGTATAGTTGTATTTATTAAATTTTAGAATCGTTCGCAACGAGAAAATATAAATCAGGATACTTGTTTCTAAATCGAGTCTTAGCGCATAATTATTGATAATAATTATACATATGTCACATTATATATATATATATATAGTGAATGTATTGCTCGACCATTACAAAAGAAACTAATTATTCAAATTATATCGATCCTGAATACTTCTCGATGGATAATAGGTAATCGTACTTTTTTATAGGACGCATAAAATCATTCTCAAACAATAAATATTCGTTATTATATTGGTCATACATTTTTCAGAAATCTCCACCCCCCTTTTACAGTCTTAGAAGAAAGATTAATTAAAGTAATCACACATCGATGTATACTTGAAAAACATAACGCTACGCCAATACAATTTCCACTAGGACTTCTATTCTTGATTCTGTTTAATAGAGTACTTGGCTACAATTTATACAGAAGTAAAGTTTTATCACTTACATGTATAAATAGTACAAATTGAAAAGCAAGTTTGTATGAATTAAAAAGTTACCGTGGCAAATTTTACTTACAACAGTGCAATTTAAAAGAAGAGATAAATATTTTCGTTTATTTAAAGTGTTCGTATAATTAGTAATTCTAATCATGGCGTTTTCTTAGTTTTACGCCGAGAAAGAATTTTTCTTTAAATTATGTTCCTATATAATAATCGTTTTGCAATTTTAAAAATATTTTAATTGATATATTATCGTATATTCTTTAAATCCACAATGAGAAACGAATGCGATTATCTATCATCTTTTCTTTTTACGTACATTCAAGCAGGGGAATAATAGTATTTTTCAACGAAATCGAAAAAGAAGCACTTTTGTTCCTTCCATTATATTAATGTCATGGAAAATAGATTCTAAACGAATCTGGAAAAGTAAAATATAACAATTTATGTAATCTTTTTGAATCACTTTGTAAGGCCCCGAAGTTCATTAATATCACCACGGGATATAATATTCTAATTATACATTTTATACTTGGTGTTTTAAATGTTACCTAGAGTAATGTTGCTCCTTAGTAGCAATAGATTTTCATAAAAATAAACATCGATTTCTAATGAAACCAACTTATGTGAAATGATGTATCTTTAAGATGAACAACTGACGTAAAAAAATTTAATAAACAATATATTTTCCAGTATTTGAAGATATCTATTCATTTTTTTAAACATTGTAGCGATTGTTATTTGATATTACAAAATTGGAAAATATATCATTTCTTTCATCAATTTTTACGTATTAAATTACATTACCATTACACAAATAAAGTATAGCCGAATAAAATAAACATTTCCAAAAATGTCACATTGTAAGTCATAATAAAATGAGCCACAGAACTGTTGTCTTAAACAATAACAATTAAGAGTTTGATTCACATATTAAAGAAGTTACATGAAAATATCTCTTAACGAATCTTAATTTTTATGCTATCATAGTTTCACACTCTTAAAAATTACACATAATGTATGAATATTGCTGATTAAAATGCACATATGTTACATTAAAGAATATACAGAAAAATACGCAGGAAACTAAAGTACTCCATTTCATTGTGATTACTTATTCTACTATTTTTATTATTTCTTTTTTTGTCGTTTTATATTTTAATTATGTCCTTAATATACTTCTATCTTACTCTATTACACATACTTTCGAAAATCTTATAGCAATGTCATTTTATCTGAAATTAATGGGCAATAGAATACATTTAGTTTTGTAGGAAATACAATATGTTCAATCAGTAATTACAATTATTAGAAACAATATGACTCGTATATAGTTTATATAATCATCTATGGCAAGGACCGGCCCAACTGCAAGTTAACTATATGTAATGTAAATAAATTCATTCCTTGTTCTCCTTTTTAGTTTTTAAAAAAAAGCATACTCAAACAAGTAAAAAAAAATGAAAGACCGCAAAACAAGTATATTAACAATAAAGCATGTATCTAACATACTGATACAAATAAGGATAAAATAAAAGTCAATGAGAAAGCAGTGACTGAGTAATACAATGGGCCTACATAAAATATGAAAATATAGAAAATTTATATTTCCAGTTAATTACACTTCTCATGTAACATCAGTCAGCAGTTTGCAACGATCATGACAATTTGGTGTTTTCTATTGATTCATTGTCTAAACACGCACTCTACCGTAGCACTGAGTGTACATCACTCAATACGTAGTTACTCTAATATTTTAATGATTATATCCATCTACACTTTAAAGTTTGCAATAATAACAATAACAATACTAATACTGGTAAATTATATGGCGCGGTAAGCAATTTTATCCCGCTCAGATATTTAGTACATGTATATATAATATATAAATATATGGGACAACATTTTTTAAAAAACTATTTGAAAAGCGACTTTGTTATTCGTGCGTGAAATTGCGTTGAGTTTCATTGTTTTGTTATTATTCTATTATTGAGATATAGATTGAGGTGATCGTGTTTGTTGCAGGTCGATTGGCACTAGCTAGAGCTGCAGGGATACCCTGAATTTTTGCAGGGATACCCGCAATTTTCCATACTGTTGTAATAAAAGGTGAGGAGGTTGCCCCAGCTGTTACTAGTTCTGGAGGATGTCGTAACCTCAGATCATCCAAGGGCAAGTCTTCTCAACCTGAAAGGCTGGGCCCCTTGGTCCGACGATTTCGCGCCATTCGCGATGCAAGAAATAAAGATGATATCCCCGTCGATAATAACATTGATGGTCAGGAATGTGGTCGTGACAACCGTCATGTATCTTGAGATTCTTAACACTTATATAAATATATGATATATACATGTACTACATTTATATTCTTTTTTGCCTACCTAATATACGTATACTAAAATTCATTATTCGAACTCTACAGTTTGATAATAACTTGCAATACCAAAGGATTTAGTATGCACACAGTTGACTTTAATTATAGAAACGATGTTTCTTACCTTTTTTTTTTTTACAATCAATATTGTATTAAAGTTTTGGTGAAATCTGAGTATATAATGATTATATTCCATTATATTTTAGTGCGTCTGTAAGAAATGGATTATCTCGCAATACCATGTATCACTTATTACTGTACCGTCCTTAAATGCAATCTCATTACATACATAGTGAGAGAAAGAGGGAGAGGGATGTTGTCAATCGGTTTCAGGAACGTTTGAAAGCAATCAACTGAGTTTTCCTATCGTAACATATACTTCTAAGCGACACAAAGAAATATCAGCACGTATTATACTTAACAATAACAAAAGTCCAACAATTGTTCAATACTCGTTGATTTAAAAAAAAAAAATGTAATACAACACAGTATACTTAATAAATTAAGAAACAAGTATGCATATTCTTCCTTATACTGACGAAGAAAGGCATGTTTACGTACAAAAAAGTGAAGTAAAATAATGAATATTGTACCGTGAGAGCAAACTTTAAGTCAAAGTCGAACTTACATTAGTCACCTTTTATGCTACAAATAAATTCCACGTAAAATTGCCATAAAATAATAAGAACTAATTTCCTTACACATATTTGCGAACCAAAAAATAATGAAATAATGTAAAATCCATGTATGTTACATTATAAAATGAACTGTTCACTGTGGTCACTCGAGTGATTATTTACAACGTTAGTGTTTGCAAAATAAAAATTATCCAAACAGTGGACCACATATGTCGTATGACAATTACACACTTCGTAAAAAATGAAAGCGAAAATTTCAACGTAAATTAAATATTATACGTTAACAGGTACTTATACTGCGATGTAATAGTAATGGTCACGAGTGTACCGTCGTTGAAACAAGTTTCCGTTATTTCGTACATGATAAAACGGCACTCTGCGCGGTCTGCGGTTTTAAAATGCTATGAATCTCAAGTGTCAGATCACATGTAAAAAAATATAGCTACCCCAAGCAGAGAAGGATCCTTTAGTGGGCATGTGCAGTCAGAAAGTAGGAGAGCAGACCGACCCATAGGTTTCCTTATCTTTTGTTTAAAATAAGGTGATTGAGCAGAAACTCTTGCAAACACGATCGCTGACAGTACAATAAAGGCGACACCTCAATATTACTAAATAAACACCTTATTATAGCTGGTGGACAAGATATATTGAACTTATAAAATTACGTCCTTTACCGGTAGACACGTATTGATACGTGCAGACTATACGTATACCTGCATAAGGCTTAGGTAGAATTCACTCCGTTATATCTTGTCCACAAACTATAATGTGGTCAGGTGTTGGCAACTAAGATCCAGCATCCAGGAACATCTCCACTGATGTCTTTCATTTCTCGGTCGGCCCTACGTATTCTTCCCGAAGGAACACATTCTCTGCTGAGGAGAGCTATAATATCACGCATAAAAAAAGGATATCTCTAAAATCGATTAACAGTGACTGGACGACACGAATTCAACCGGAAAAAGGAACGAAAGTTAAATATAGCGTTGCACATAAAAATTTAACACCCTGTCCGTATTCCTCTATAAGCAAGATAAGAGACAATCTAAGTGAAAGCTTCAATTGAAAATCAGATGCCTCCAAGGGGGTGGATCGGGGGGTGGAGGCAAAGGGACTGGTTACGGCCGGCAATGACCTCTTTTCCTACCACCTTCGTTGCCATCCTCTTCCTCGCCGCCCCGTCTAACTTCTGTATAACGTTCGCCCTTCACGCTGACGATCTTGTTCTCCAAATAACGCACCAGCTTTTTCGGTTCCGTTTTCGGGGCGACTGGACGGTGCTCGCGCGAATCATCGTCCCTGTCGACGTAACTATATCGAGCGATGATACGTGATTTCAATTCCTCGTCGTTCACTCTGGCCCTGTTGCGACCGTTCGGCTGCCACAAGATAATCAGGCTATTTTATGTCGTTTAACTAATAATTGATAATTAACCTATTTGCTAGTACGCGATTCTACGGGCGGGCCAGTTCGTTTAGAGAAGATCCGTAATAGACGAGTATATGTAAGAGAGTAATGCGACGTAGATATAGCAAAACATACACCGTCCTCCTTAAATTTTTAGTTAAAAAGAGCTGCTTTGAATCATTTTCATACAAAATTACAGGGTAAATTATAAATAAAAATATAGTTGAAGTTGGCAGGATGAAAAATCAAATTTCATATAACTTCGTTACAAAGAAACAATGTTGATCTAATGCTTCAAATTTGTGTCAGAATTGTGGACTGCTGAAAATAATAAACAAATTTCTCTATACTTACTGTTACAAATGTCAGGTTACTAACAATACTTTGCCCTGCTTCTTGACGATGAAGTGCAAGTTGAGCAGCCTCTGTAATATCACCACCAGCAACAGCTAAACAATGTCGGACCTCTGCAGGACTTGCAGCTGGGAACATTTCTTGCAATAGAGCTACCTGATGCCAAGATTCCTGACGAAAAGAAAGTAATATTTGTAAGATATATTTTCATGCAAGTAAATGGCATTACTAGATAACATACCATTTGAGATTTTGATAAATATTAATAAACTCACTTCTTGAAAGTATTCACCACTGTAATCACTTCCAACATCGCTCGTTTCAGAGAGATGGTGAACTCTCATTCTTTGTGTATCGGGTGGTAAAAGTGCAGTCAGGCTAATCTGACTCAAAGGATCTTGAGGTTGACAATTTTCATTTTCTTTGCTTTCTTCCCGTAATTTGCTTTCGACATCCAGCAACCACTTGGACACTGCTTCCTTTTCAATTTTAGAAAACTCAGGAAGACAGGCAGACACCATTTCGCACAGTCCATCCACGTCTAACTCTTCCTCAAGTGCACTTTCTTCTACCATACTTACGACATAACTAAGAACGATATCATCTATTAAACTGAAACAAATATCTTCATGGAGCACAGACAAGATGAAAATATAGTTATTCAGTATCTGTAGTTTCGAGTAATTATAGGTAATGAAATATATCTAAATTTGTTTACCTCAGTTGGGCAGTGGGCACCTCCTTCCTCACGAAACTAAACAAGGACTTCTTCACCAGCTCTTCTTTTTCATCCATTGTACGACTCATCCTAAAACAATTATATTAAAATTAATTTATTTCCTACATTCGTGTAGTACATTCCATATTGTGGTTAACAGAATTCATTAAACAAAATGTACATAAATTTATTCTATTTCACTGAATGGTGCTCTCAAAAAAAATATTTAACAGTAATAATTAGATCAAACTTATATAAAGTTGAGACTTCATTTTTAACTTAGTAATATTTACAATAGATAAACTAGATTTCTATTCCATTTCAGACTTTGTAAATTACTTTATACCAACATGGCTTTTATTAAACATCCATTGGTTTTCAAATAATGACAGTATTGATACATAATATTGTCAAAAAACAGAATTCAAATTCTGTAATGTTACAAATTATATTTCAAACAAACAATGAAAACAGTATGCATAGGTATATCTAAAATTATGAAATAAATATATATCATTTCTTTTTATTTTTACATAAATTACTGCACTACATATCTTAACATATATTTAAGAAACCTCTACAAATAGGGGATAATCATTTTTTATTTGTTGTTATCAAGGTTCTGTGATAAGAAACCAAAGATAAAAAGGGTTTTTACTATATGCATAAAAAATGGTTGCAATAAAAGTAACATATAGCTAAATGGTTTGTTTATGTTCTGTAGAACATACTTCAAATTTGTTTATATCTAAAATTTTTGGTCACTACATAGACTTCATCTTATAATGTTATCAAATGAATACAAATAAAAAAAAATTCATAAATGTTTTACATAAGATTGAGACACTTTCGTGAAGAGTTCGTTTTTCACATAATATGTAAATATACGTATACCAACAAATATTTTTCTGGTAGCTATTAAATAATTTGGGGATGAATGTTTAAAAAAAAAAAAAAAGGGTCCTCTATCAGGACACAAACCATCCAATTTACTACACAATAAATTAAGCACAATTGCAATTCAACGATTAACCACGCGAATGTCAGAATTTTGAAAATAAATTTCGGTTTTGAAAGCTAAAATCGCAATTCGGTGGTTCACTTTCCAGTTAGGTTAATAGAAATAAGGTAAAAGGGAGAACAAGGAGTCTCTAGCAAAATTAAGTTCGGCGGAGTATTCTCGGTGGACTGTTTGTTCTTTAGGAACAAAAATGATATTATCCCCTGTAACACGTTGAAAATAAAAAATATGTAAAGAGGGTGCGCGACAGAGAAATGGAAAAAGGACGAGGAGAAATTGACAGGAAAGGTGGTAGCAGCGCCGATCATCTCCAGTACCGAACAATTCTACTGGTTAAAGAGAACGAACGGATTCGGTGAAACCAACATTGATGTACTTTGCCGTGAAAATACAGACGCCTACGAACCTGTCTTTTTCGCTCGTTCGAAGTCCCCGGACTGCGGATGAGGCAGAAAACTGATAAAAATTTCGTATACAAACAACGTTTCTCGCGTTGACAGTTCGTCAAGGAGAGGGGTGAAGATAACGTGGCGCCATCAGAGTCTGCGACCTACTTCGGAATCAAATCAGCAATTTCGTCTGTGAAATTTTTAATTATCGAAAACACCTTTTATTTAGAAACAAATAAACTGTTACCTGAAACCAAATAATATTCTTAATTCATGGAAAATGAAAAATGTATATTTGTTTATATCGTTATTACAATAAATGCTTGTATTGCGTTGAATGGAATGAAGACGTTCAATTCATTGGTGCGGCAATATCGATAATGTAACCCCCAAAAAGTTTGCCATTTTAATATTATGTACAAGTATAAATTATATTTTACGTTCATTATATGTACGTTTGTTTTATTAGTTAAATTGCATCTAGTTTCTAAAAATATTTGATGCGTCGAAACTGTTTAAACAAGATTATTTAATTTTAGATTTTTGACATTATTATTCCTGTAAAGGTACTTTCTTAAGAGCAATACTAAAATATTAGGATTGATTAGTATAGAAACGTTAATACTTTTTAAATTCCAATGTGTAATATGCAAATTAAAAACAACTTATAACATTTACATGAAAATGTATCAAGTGTTTTAGATTTATGCAAGATAACAAATACTTTCAATTATAAAAGTACTGAGGATTTTAATAATTATGATTTTGCAAAAATTTTTGGATAAACGCACGTCAATGTACTAAAAAAATATATAAATATGTATGTTATACACAATGGAAATTTTATGATAATTTGCAAATTTTTTATACTTTGTGTTTACTTATTCATTTATATGTTTTCTCCTTCACAAAATTTTATTAGTTAATATAAAAAATTATTAATTCTAAAAATAATACAAAACGTTTAACCTAACTATCCTGTTTCGTAAATTTCCGTTATTTCTACGTACGGAAAAATCGGGACTGATAATTTTTGCTATACTTCGCTATAGCAATTTATTTATAAGACATAATTTCACATGTTACAATGTACACATACTTTCCAATCATACATGTATTTTTACAATAAACGTAAGTAGTTTCGCAGCTACCTTCGACTTTTAGTACGTATCATGTACATACGTAGAGGGTGATTTTTATACAATTCTTATGAACAAACTCAAACAATGTTCTGCATGTAACGTTTCTTGTAAGAAATTTACAAAATCATCCAGAAACCTAAAGCTGAAATTCAAGATCAGTAAAAATCACTATGAAGAATAGTTGCTTACATTTCGAGTAATCGTCTTTGTAATCTTATCTAATACTAACAAATGGTTCGCAACTAACGTATAAATGCATCAATTTTTCATTAATTCAACGGAATTTGACGCAGCAAACGCACAAAAAGAAATTTATAAAACTTATTACATGATTCATAAATACTAATGTTGTACTGTTTCTTTTTAAATCATATGAAGATTGACTTAATTTGAACAGGTACAACTTTTTTTGTTAAAAGAACAAGATCTCATTTTACAGTGGTCGTACACGAGTAATTAAATTAAAAATAAAAGCGTTTAATTTTCAGCAGAAGTTAAATTAACGATTTATATTACGTTTCATGATTAATTGGTAACCTAAATCGACAGAATTGAAGAAGACCAGAGTCAATATAAAGGCATAGGTTGATTTGTTATGAAATAATTTGTAATTAAAAACGTAGAAGCCATGTATTGTGTACAAGCTTCTATGTGTACACATAATAAACTCGATTATAGGTACTCATTAACTATGTACAATTAATCAGTAAAATTACGATTTGAATAATTTTAAATTTAAATCGTATTCTCTAGCATAATCTTTCGTATGGAAATATTAGTTTCGATCAATGAACTTGAAGAACAAGCTCCAAAGATATATACTGCCACTACGATTCGTACAATGGTAAAAATAGTTGTAACTTTTTTATTTACTTACGCTCTATTTACACTGTCGCTGAGATATTTGTCGTTTCTTTTAGAAAAAAATTATATAGAGTTTTGCGTTTCAAATGATTAAACTAAAATGAAACCGTGAATAAGTATGTACTTAAAGGTCCATGGCAACAAAGACTACAGAAAAACAATATCACAAAAGTAGTATTCCTTTCCTTCTACGTTTCACTTTGAAAGGAAATTGTCAGGATCATTGCTCTTCGCCAAGAAATTAGCATTTCAGAATAAAAATCTGTTAATCATACTTTTATCGCAATACTGCATTAATCTAAGAATTCTTTAAGAAATTAAAGTCATAGATAGTTTTATATTCGCTTCTCGCCTTTCATTAAACAATCCAAGTATTAAAGGAGTATTTCAGTGTATTCATAGTGTCAAAGAGTCGATATACTTTTTTTGCATTTCACGAAGTTTAACATTTCGAAAATGTTTAACGGGAGTAGTATTTCATTCTGAATGTTTCAAGCTGCAATTTTTATTCGTAGAACTAGATCTTACGTTATTCTTGTGATGTGGGAATTTATTTGAAATTGTTGGGTTAAGACTTTTTTTTATAACTTATACCTCAGTGGTTCTTGTGAGCACTCCATTTTCATCGAAAGAAATGATTTCCGACCAGATAATATAAAGGTTAATGACACGGGCTGAAATACCTACACCCTCTCCCACAACAAGAGATTCTAAAGGAGCATTACTTTTTGCTTATCAATGAGAATACCCCCTTAAACAGTATTCAGTTCATGATGTTACCACTAAACAGGTTTCTTTTCTTCCGAGGGCTCATCCTTTTCGACTTCACTCCGTTCACCATCTTCAAGCTCAACAGAACTGTAATCCCTAGACTCTTCTTCCTTGCTATCTTTAATAGAGGCTGTTTCCGTTTCCTCGACTATGTCTTGTTCCTGCTCTAAAAAGTCTGTAGGTACGAATTCCATTTGGTCCTCGCTATCGTTTATGTCCGGTGGTTCAGGTATTTCGCAGAAATTGATTTCCCCTTCACCATCAATTGTTTCGTTGCCACCTGGGTCGTCCTCGTCATGTAGACTCATAAGCTTTTCGAAATTCGAGCGGGTCGAACTGTCCTCCTCATTATTCTCAGGGAATATTGTAGGACTGAGAGGTATGTCTAACGGTTCCATTTTGACTGTGGTAGTAGGCGATGTGGGTGTGACTGGTCGTTGTAAGCGTATTTTTGTGAACGGTTTCGGCTCGATGGGTTCTGAATATTGCCGTTTCTGAGCGCGTTTTGGACTAGATGGTGTTGAAACTCCAGAAGTGGAAGCTTTTTCTTTGGTCTCTGAAGCGGGTCGAGAAAGTGGTTGAGTTGCTACTAGCTTAGATTGAGGAATCAGCAGGGGAGGTTTTGGATTCTGGAAAATTAATATGTTTTGTAAAGCACTGACGACACTAGTAGGTTCTTAACGAGTAACAACACTTTGTTAGAACGAAATGCATGTATAGAATATATATTTTACCTGTGAAGAAGGACTTGGGCCAGCTAATCCTTTCACTTGCAGCGTCTCAGCTGCAATTAACAACTGTGGCAGTTTATCGTGAGCAACGTTAACTTCACCACGATACATAAATTTGACTAGCGCTTCAACTTCCCAGAATTTAAGATCTTTCATTAAAATAATTGGATGCTGACATGGGTTCTCGCGTAACAACTGTGCGAGGTAATCGCTGCACGAAGATAGTATCATTTTGTGACACTTTAACGAGCGACCCTCGCAGGCTAGGGTAACATCGACGAACTGCTCAGAATCCAATAGAGATGGAAAACTGTTTTGCATGTTACTGTGATAACTGTTCCATCTCAAACAAACCTGAAACATATAAGTGTTACATATTTATATCATTAATATAGGTATGAAATATGGATCGCATTTATCAGTGTTTTAACCGTATTTCGTAATAAATACCTCTGTCGGTTGTTGATGCACAATATTATGAGGTAACCCTTGGTGAATTTGCCGAGGTGGCATTTTAATAGTTGTCGGTGCAACTTGCTTTACTTTTAAGGGTATTGTCTTTAACACAAGAGTCTTTGGTTGTCGTTGGTGCTGCAGCTGTTGTTGTGGTGGCATTGGTGCCGGTGCAATGTTTCTCATAGGCCTTACCACGGACTGTGTAGCTATCCTTATAGTCTTGCGAATTGGATTGCTCTGAGACGTTGATTGTAATGATGGTGGTATTGTTGGTGGTAATGATCCTTGTAATGTTGATTGTAATACTGCAAAAAAAAAACCAGTATTGTATATAGATTTTGATACAGTAAAAACAGAGTATTATTCCCTCTGATGTTTCTCAATATTAGGTGCTATATTATAATTCTCCAGAGGATACTGGGACGAATAATGATGCTAATCATAAGATTTAACTGTCAACGTATTTCTTCATAACATTTAAGACTAAATCACACATAGAAGAACAGTCATCTATTACGTCCTATATTACATTAAAGAACAGCATTGTAAATACGTCTAAGCTATAAATGTATTTGTTGATAAAAATGTAGTAATTTTCAGGAGCAGACCTGGACTAATCTAATCTGAATGCTAAATGTTTAGGGTTCGGAGACCATTGATGGTGACGGTGGGTAGATATATTGTATCGGATCGGTTGCTAGGTGTGAAAAACATTTAAATCGTTAAAGTCATCAACTATCATTACCGTGATAACGACTGCCAATGAGTCTGCCACCGTGATGTACCCTAAGATGCCGATGAAGATTCGTGGTGCCGCACTGTCGAGGATTCGCGCCACCTCGGACTACGACCGCCCCGCAGATACGGCACTGTGCACGGAGAGGATCGTTCGCGCACAAGTCGAAGTGTGCCCAAACAGCGCTGGGGTTGGTCATAGCCCGTAGGCTACGTGCATGCGAGCGAACGCGATGCGTAGATCCCGCGTGGTGGCTGCCCGATGACGGTGGCGACGGTGACGGGATGTCGGTCGCCTCGAGGTAACAATCCTCCTCATCCTCCGGCTCCTGCTTCATCGCGACCTCCTCGAGCCTGATACCCTCCACGATATCCTCGGTGGAAGACGTGACTGCGCCTCTGTCCTCGTCACGTTGCTCGTTAAGAAGACGGCGGGCAGTCAGCTTCACGGTGTCCTTACAGGCCACCAGTACAAGCCGACCCGCCGTCGCGGCCGTTGTGCTCGTTTCGGCGGCTCCGCTTTAAAATCCGACTCGACGCCGCTCGTATTTCCTTTTCGGCAAATTGTTCTGTCTGCGGAACGAAAACGCGACACGTTCTCAGATACAAAGCCACCGGACATAGATACTTCCGAACTGACAACACCGGGTGAAGTTCCAACTTCTGATGAAATCTTTTGAGAATTGAGACTTGTGAGATAAAGGGTTAGATTAGTGTGATATTTTTTTCGTTAAGCGGTAGTGTACGCTTTTTGTCTAAACTCAAAGATTTTACATTCGACTAAAATGAAATTTTCATTTGATAATGTTCAAGAAACAGTAGTCATGGTTCTTCCGGTTATCAGACTGCTCTAACTCTTCAAGTGATAACATTTTGTAGGGGGTTTCCCGCCAATGTCTAATTTTATGGAAAAAAAAAAACATAAGTGACACGTTTGACTAGTATTTCTGTTATTGAATATATTATACTGATCAGCACGAAACTAGTTTTTTTTTTTGAGATAATTATGGTGGAGTGAAGAACATAACGGGCTCAAGTTCGTTATTATACTATCGAATATCTAATACAACTGGGAAATCTATTACTACGAAAATTCGTTAAAATTTAAGAGTTGAAAGATCTTCCCGTGTTAAATATCAAGCCAACAGCATCGTTTTTCACCCTATCGCGGGGCCTTCATTGGACCAATATTTTCATGGCGACTTCCGACTGCGTAGGTGTCCGATGACTAATCGTACATTTCTTTGCAATTAATAAGCAGACCCTACAGTGCTAAGGTCACTGATTTAACTGAAATTTTTCATCACGTTTCAAGTTTTCAATTCATTCTTTAAAGATCAGACACTTTCACAGTCCACTGTTATATGATTATTATTGAACGTTATCACTGTACCAGGAACACAAAATTTTGGGATAACTTTTACAAAAAAAAAATACGGCTTACGTGCGGAAGCCTCAAAAGTAATTTCAATTCAGTCTACTTTCATTGTATGCTATTATGAAAATACGTATGTAATTAGAAATAAATAGTGATATAGGGGCAGCGCGTTTGACTACTATCGGCGAAATCCCAAGTTCGAGACCTCTTTTATGCAAATATAACAAGGTTTCTTAATTGGTGTTTAATCGTATAGTGTAAAAAATATACTAAAAAATTCATTATTTCTAAGTATTTGAAACTAGTAAATGTATAATAATTTGAATTAAAAAGCAAAGGAACATAAACTTGGGTTCTCGCAGTAGTGGCCAGTCACGTTGTCATCAATAACACTTCTACCTTGTAACCTTATACACAATTCTTTTATACACATAGAGGTAAGTGTTGAATACAAGAGTTTGACCTAATTTTTTTGAAGATTCTAAGTAATATGCTCTTCATATTTACTGCACTATTCAGTACGGTGTGCATTACTTACATATCAAATTCGAGCCAAATCGGTAACTCGAACATCGTGGTGTTTCGTAAGAAAGGTTAGGTAAACAATAGATTCGACTAAAAATACGAAATTCAAGGAATAAAAAATTAATTTTACTTAAGTCCCATGGCTTAAATTTGTGCTAGCAATTGAATTTGGAAAAGTATCTATCTATATCATGTATGTAACGTATATCGAAAGATTCGCTGCATTCTTATCCTTAGATAACTGTGTCATACCATTAAACCCGTTTAAGGTAGAGATGAATGAAAAATCGTACATTGTGATTATATTTGAATGAATCAATGACATTGACTGAGACTGTCTGAACTGTATACTTATTAAAAGTGTATGCAATTAAAATAAGTTTTGAAAATTTGAAAATAAGAATTGATTACAACAGAAACTTGAAAATATAATACACGATTCTAACTATACATCTGTACTTAATATTACGTGTTAAGAGTCCTACCTAACTTTATATGTTTAATATTTCTAAATAGCATCTGATAGCAGCACTGAAGCTGTCTTTAATAAACAGTAAAAGCATTTTTAGTTTCTTTAAAAAAAAAAAGAAATTAATTAATTTTTATCCCAAGAGAAAACGAAGACCTTTTAACATTCATTGTCCCGCCGATCGTTTTTCGGCACGATGTACCCAAAATCGATGTATATAAAAAACGTTAACGATAATCGGCCGGTGAGTAGATAAAATACATTACGCGTTCTCGCGCTGTCTCTATCCCCCCACCGGGTCTCTCTATGGCTCCCACTTCTTTTAGCACACCGTATCATCATCCAGCAGACGACGCACGGATAATACGTATTAACGATTTATCCGATGAGAACGTACGATAGCGGTACACGTATTTTGCGTCGGAGTAGATCGATATTACAGCGGGAAGTCGAAGCCATGAAAAGTTCGGAATTGCGCGTAGAAAATACATTTCTATAAATCCCGGTGCGTAATCAGAAACGGTCCAAAAACCTCAACGGAAAAGTTCTACGCCTTCCGCGAAGCTGTTTCTTCTCTTCTCCCTGCACTGCTCCGTTTCTAAATCTCCCCTCCACTCTCCTATCCGCACACACCACATACATACACACACACACATGCGGACGCACAACGTTTCTCGTCTTCGCATGCTTGCACCATCTCTTTCACTCTTCCACGCGCACACTCTCGAATCTCCGTTCACACTCAATCACTCCCTCTCTTTCTTGCCTCCCCGAAGATCTCGGTCGTGCGACCGGCTATAAAATGGCAACCGTTGCGACCGAGCACGATATCGAGTGGCCACACGCCGCTGCTCATTGCCGTGTGTCTCTACCGTACCTCTAACTTTTTCTTCTGTCTTCTTTGTTGTCCCACGCCGTGTCACTTAACCGACTCCAGTGCCGTTCGATTAACGACTGCGAACCGGTTCGATTTCGTATTGTGTGTTCCAACAGAGAGACCCGTTCGTCGTTCTCTACCGGACAAAATTGCTCTCGAGACACGGCGACGCGAACGATCGCCACCAGTGTGTGCCGTTTGAATTTCTCACACGTTCCGGAAAGAATCTACCTCGGCACCGATCTCAAACTCTATTCTCTCGTACGAACCGACACGAAACCGACACTGACTCCCTATCGCGTTTCCAGTGCGCCTATCTTCTCCCGTGCAAACGTTCCACGATTACCGGTATCGGATTCCGTCGTTTCGTGTATTGAACGACGACGACAGGCACCAAGGTACTGCTTCGAAATTCCGTTTTGTTGTTTCGCGTTTGTGTGTCCACGACGTTACTCGATACTGATCACAAGCTACAAAAAAAATCGTCAAACCGAATGGGCAGGACGCTCGTCAAAAGAGACGCCGTTCGTTTTCAGTTTCGATCGAGAATGTACCGTCTCGTCAAGTACGAATAGTGTGCTTTCCCACGGACGCGTTCTGGCGGCCCTTGCTACAAGAGCGGAACGATTTTCCCCGAAGCCGAACCCGGGAGTGACTAAAATCGAAATCGGTGGACGAACAGGGGCGCGTCAGGACGCGCATGTGCGACGGCGCCGCCGGTCGTCGACGCATATTATCCGTGCCGTGTTTCGTGTTGCTATCGCGTGCGCGTTCCCGGGTCCTCTCCTCGCTAAGGAAGTACTAACCGACCTGATCACGTTCGGCTCGCTTGGGCTCGCCGCGCGAATTCTCATCGATCGGGAACCGCTTCTCTCTACGTACACGGCTCCCCTTTTTTCGCGCGCATCTTTAAGACGCCCGCCATATTGCACATGGAACGTGAACACAATTGAAATACAACCGTTGTTAATCATTTCGTAGCCAAGCTGTTGTTGCGTGCCGCTCGATGCTAATAAAATATTATGCAGAACTGAACGATTTTTCGAGACAAATTCTGCAAATGTTTATGAAACTGTTTACAATGACCGGTACAGAGATCTCTTTTGTTTCGTCACTGCAATATTTCACACGTGGTGGACCTATAAATTTTCTGAATCGATGAATAAGTACGACGTCATTCAACAGAGAAAGGTTTAATCATCTCGTAACTTCACTTTTCGACGCATTGATTGGAGATTATTAATCACTTACGACTTACAAGCTTCCCAGTAGGAATAGAGAAACAATGCATTTCAGATTGTCAGAATGGCGCGATGCTTACTTATCCCTTTGTGTGAAACGTCGGTTAGACCAATCGCGTACCGACCGTCCATTATTGGAATAAATTGCCGGGAAAATTGAAACACGTGTTTGAATCAGTGCTGTTTTGGGCTGAAACCTCGTTTAATATCTATTATTTATTCTGATTGATCTATGGATCCATTTTTTATTTATGCGGACCTTTATACACGCGATTTTAGTTTCATACGATATTTAATTTATCCGGTCAAATAATATATTCTTCTAATGTATTTTCATAAATTGTTGTATATCGCTGACCAAAAATTGCTTACTTGATTGTACATATATTATTTTGACCTTATTTTGGTTGAGTTCTGAACAGATAATAAAAATCCTGTTATCACGTATTTAGATAGTTCTTATTCAGTCCTTTAGCTTAGTGAATATGTTGTGTTTGTGTTGACGTTTATTCGTGTTTGAAAAAAAAATTTTTAAATATACTGTATATTATACTTAATGAGTAAATAAATAAAATTCTCACGTAGATTATATTCCATTACTCTAGAAGAAAACGTATTTCGTTTCTTATTTCGATGATGTAAAAAGAATCGATATTATTTATACTTATTACATCACTACATTAATATATTTGTCCTGATGATTAACGTTTTTACGTTGTTCGTATACATTTTTTGTAACTGCATGAACATGTCCTCTGGAGAATTATTTATTTCGTTATTAAAAAAACATGACAAACCTTTGTACAATACGGGCGATATATTTTTTTTATCAAAGAACACTGGTTAAAGTAATTATTTAACTTTCTAATGAGTGTGAAAGAATTACACTTACCTTTTCTAGCCGTCCGGCGTTTCGGTTGATCTTCGTTTTGTTCTGACTTAAGATCCTCATTTTTAAGAATCATGGGTACAGTACTAGAACTGTTGCTTTTCTCTAAACCTGCAGGATAAGATCAATTAATGACTATGAAAGGATTAAAATCAACATTGAAAGAAAGTTAACAACACTCACTTGATAACACGCATGGTTTGCCAAGAGCCAAGTATCGCTTCCTGGCAACTTGTGCGGCCGCGAAATCTGGCTTGTGGTTATGTTCCATACGCACTCTCGGTTTCGTGCAGCTCGATGTCGTGATAAGGCTACCTCTGCAATGCATACTCCTGCTGACGCATCTCCATCGGATGTTGTACGGTTGTTTTTTGTGTAGTGTGTACATATAACCATTGTGAATTAATTTTGGGCCTCCTTTGTTTGAAAGCACAACCTGCAATATAGATTAAAAACTTTTGTTAATTCTTTATATTATTTAAAATACTTACGATATTTATCTGAAGTAGATAAGTTAAATGTTACTATGTATAGTTATTACTATAACATATAAACGTCAAATGCTAAATGTATTTAGTATAATTTATATTTAAATTTTTTCGAAATGAATGTTTTTGTTAATTGTTTAGAAGCTTTTAAGATCTCTTATTTCGTACCTCAGCTACGTTCGGATCATCATGACCGGAATTCTCGGTCGGAAGGCCGAACGACGTGGACGCTTCTTCCTCGTTCTCCGTTTTGTTTTCGTTAGGCACGTTTTTCGAACGCTGTGACATCTTCTCTGTTGTGTTTCTATTTTTTCCGACTGTAAACACTTTGAGTCCTACTGAAGCATGTTGCACCTGCTTCTGCCTGTAATGCCAATTTTATTAAACAAAAATAATAAACCAAGAAAAACATGGTCTTATTTGAAGTATAATTAATATTTTTATATTATTTGTTACGACATTTATAATTACTAATTTATATAATTTTGTGATACAAATTTGGGATCACGACGATTTAACTCGTGTTTAACTCGCATACCTGAACCCAAACAGGCTAATGTAACTTATACAATTTAAATGTAATTCACATTCAATCCACCTAACCAGATCTAACCGACCTCACTCAAACCTAACTTATCCAATCCGAACTTACCCGTTCCATCTTAAGTGATTTCAGTCATTCAATATAAATCTTAATTTTCATTGAGGTTTAATTCATCATTGTAATATAAATGTAATTAAGCCAATCGAAACCTAATTTATGTAATTCTCACCAAAACTCAATTTATTTAATAATTTATTTTTAACGCTAGTTCCTAATTCAAACCTAACCCAACTAACTCGTCTACTCGTAGTTAACGTAGTTCTGTTAAAGATTATAGTAGTTTTCGTGAATAAAATATTGAAAAAAATATGTCTTAAACTTCCTGTCAATTGTTCTAGTTCTTATTATTTATCAACATGAGGTGTTGATTAGAGGTTCACGCAATCCGCATATCCTGGGCGGTATACAGACACCACGATTTTCGCAATTACATCTGTCTACCGGGCTTCTATTACTGTGAAATCGCTTAAACGTCTCCGTACCTATGCATGGTCCAAAAATAGCCTGGTACGGAGAGATGAACAGCGGCCTATACAACCAAGAAATCGTGCGTGCTAGAAATTTCAGCGCGCTCGGTACTCCGTCGCGGAACAATTTTCCTTTCTTTCCCATTTTTCGATTCTGTCTCTTGCACGAAATACACGGAATAATCGTAAGAAAGCCAAATGTACGAATAATCGGTCCACTTCAACGTTAATTTCAAAAAATAAAAGTCGAATGATAGTTGAAAATAAAGGGTAATATATTTTTACTGCAAATAATCAAAGATTTGCAATTTCATTATTTATATCGTTTGAAATAGATGTTCCAAATCTATCATTTTTATATCGTGCTGCTTATGTCTCAAGTAAACTATACATTTATACGACCATGTCCTTTTTGCGAATGTTTTATTTCATGAACGCTTAAGTTTAAGTATTCATTATTCAATGATATACAATGAATAACGGAAATATTTGAACGATCCGGTTTTGTACGTAGACCCCTCCAATTATTTTTTCAAACTCGTGAACACGTTAGTTCTTTCTTAAAGGCATATACGTCTATGCAAAAAGTATCCATCAATACACTTCAGATTTTGTCACTCTACAGTTTATAGTTATATGTTCCAAAAATTTTTAACATAATGAACTTATGACTGTTCGAATATGTTCGTTATTTACCGTGTAAGTATACCGTTGCACTACTTCAAATATGTTAATATGATCATAAATCAGGATTTTGGTTTTTCAGAAATTTTCGATTTGGTCGTAAATGTATTTCTATGGTATAAAAAATATGCAGTAAGCACGAAAAGATTAATAAAAAAAAACTCTAATTTAAATGAAACATACAACTATCAGTTCCTCTTTCCAACCATCCGCCTATGTTCGTTCCAATTGATGTGCCTACCGCCTGTGAAGTCTCTCCTTATAGTATCATTCATCGAAACTAAAGAAACGGCAAAGAATAAAAACTAATATGTAATACTCACGTGATATTGATATATAACTCTATTGGCAAGATCCGCAGGGATTATCGGTATAGGTATGTTACATACGAATAAAAAAAAACAACTTTGAAAGAATAAAGAAAAAAGTCAGGCGATCTCGAGCGTCGATCGGGAGAACGTAATCACCGATAACGATTTTCGCGATCTCTGTTGAGATGTATCGATGTATCCAGTGGCAGTCGTAAAAGTCACGGATAGGTTATAGCCGTTTTCGACGGAACTGCCGAATGGCCAACAAAAATGGCGAAACGTGGATGATCAAGTCTTGCGCAATAAACACCGCGGGCTAGAGCGTGGAATATGGCACCAGGCAAGCGTAATCAATGAACGGCACTATGGCACCCGCGGTTACGGGACGTATTTACGCGGCGCAACAGATCGTTCCCACCGCTTTTGTCATTCAAATGGTAGCGGCGCGCGATATGAGCATTCGAGATTATTATTGATTATTGAGTATTAACTTCGTCGTGTATTGTTTCAAAACAGACATCAGTCACAAGACCATATGTTGGTTAATGTAGGGGGAAGTTTCTTTTCCAAATGAAACCTCAGAGATTATTCGTAAATACGAAACAACGATCGTATTCGAAAAAAGTTATTCGCTAGTCACAGATAAATTTGTAACATTATTCGACTAAAATTTACTGGAATAAAAAAATTATTCATTATTCAAAGATTATGCGAACTGTGTGTGTTCAATTCTCCTGTCTGTGGAATTCGACAATGATATGTTTAACGTGTGTTTGGCCAAAACAAACGCGTAAATGTTCGCTCCTTTTTCCAATTATTTTTTACATTGTAAGTCCATACATTTTGGATCGTGCGTCTATAAACACTTGCTAGTGTTTGTAATATTATGTACATTAGAAATATGAATGAATTTTTTGTGTATGTAACTTACGAAAGAATTTACAATTTTGATAGGAAATTTGTAATTCTGGTTAAACAGAAAGGAATCATCCTTTCATTATATTAGTAACTGTATACTAATATTTAATATTAAAAAATGTCCTAAATTGTGTTAATTCAAAACAGTTTACCTTTCCTGATCCGTCCTTGACGTATTTTTACACACAACCAGTGCCCATTCTACGTGTCTACAATAGATGCGTTTCTGCAGTTTTGTCGCCCCATCTATCCTGAACTGCAAGAGCTTGCCCAATTCTACTTTCCGATCTTTGAACTCTACTTTACCTTCTGCTATTCTGTTTTACCACATACGAGGACAAAAACAGTCAACTTTCGATCGAAGAATTTCCACTTTCGACAAATTTTTACGAGTTTCTCGCATAAATCTCTAGAAAGGCATATTTGAATTAAATAATTTTTAGTTAACTATCACTACGGACATTATCACATAGTCATTGTTTAATAATTTGCAATCAAATAAAATTTATTCCATATAGAAGTTCATGAAACGATTCATTTCGTATAAATTTCTGTGACCTCGATTCCTATTTGTTATAAATTTTTGCTTTTTCATTTGAGAATATTTCATTAAATATAATAGTTGCGATGGGAGCAATTTTTTAAGATGAAAATTGTTAAGAAATACTAATACTCCGCGCCAACTATTCTTCGTTGTAGCCATACATACATACCCTTTTTTTTAAATTAATAAATCCCCCTTTCCGCATTCAAAATACAAAATACACAGTTTTGTGGAAGAAAAAACATACCCAATATAACATTAGTAAAGTCCTACAAAACAACAACACAGAAATATCTTCGATCGTGATCTACACCGTGAAACATGGTTCATACAGAAGATCGATAATATCCGTTTTTACAATTTTTATTAGTTTTGTCGTTCCAAAGGGCATGGTAAAAGATCCGTTTGCGATGGTTCATTGTTTTTAATGTAATTTATAAGTAGTACAGTATAATGTTAATTAAATTGATTATATTAAATATTGTTTCCTTGTATGCATTGTGTAACCGAATAACGATACAGACGAGACTAGCAGGTGGTGACCTTCAGTAGCGCTACCCCTTTTCTTTCATTTTTCTTCTTCTTTTATCCCTAGCGCTAAGTAATAATTATTTTATCGTTTCTTTACGCCATTAATCGACTCCCTTCAAACGTGTTCCCCGTCTCCTCCTTTTCGCACACTTACTCGCGCGTGTTTTCTCAATTATATATTGGCAGCGTTTTAATGGATCGTGAAGTAATACTCAAAGGGAAGCCCATCCGAACTCAGAACAGACAATCGATCGAGTCATGGGAAACATGGTATATAATAGTAACAAAAAATCATTGGCGGTTGAAAAGTGGTTCACGACTTAATCATCTTAAAGGCACAGGCAACATGTGTGTAGCATAAAAACGCATTAATATATCGATCGAGCTTGAATCGTATCATAATGCGATAAATTTTATTACTTGAACCCTCTATTGACCATTCTCACGATTAGACTGTGGATTTTATACACTTTAAATATTTGAAGTATGTTTGAATATACAAAATTAATAGAGCGATTAGTTTACTTTCAACCGGAATAAAACCATTAATAAAGAAAACCAATGTCCGTTTCTCTATCGTTTTCAGCGATGAATCTATAAAAATTTAAATTTACATAAATATCCACTGTCTATTAATGGATTAAGTAGGCACAGAACGCACCGAGTATAATTTAAAAAAAAAAAAATAGTTTCTGAATCAATGATCTTAAGACAATTCTACTGATATTCTGTCTGTATTTAACTACAATGTACCTGATAACACGTTTAAAATTTTCTTCTAAAATGCAATTACCAAAAACGACGAACAGTATACAGTATCGGATGTCGTAATGTAATGGACTACAGAGGGTTGGAGGTTAATTGAACATTCACAAAATCCAACCGCAAAAACAATATCAGTGAACACGTATCCATCACAGAAAGACACTTACAAATGTACAGGGACACTCGAAAACGTTACACATTAATCACCTAGCCCAGACCAAGCCGGATTCCCGAATTTCATCGCATGCTTACGGAATAACATCAAAAATCTAGCAAAGTATAATCGTACACCTGTATCATATCGAAAGAAAGATCGCCCCAAATAATCTTTCCGTACGTGTACAAAGTTTTGCTGGTAAATTACACTTTGTTATTATCGAGTTGGAAATGATAATTTACGTTATATTGTGTGATTCCAGCCGTTCAACACATGTAACAACATTTCATGGATCACAGAAATCAATGGATAAACATTTTGTCCTTCGATAAGTAAATCTTACTTCGATTACTTGTCACTAATAACTTATCACGCAGGATGAGGACAAACGCATGATAGAATTCGTGGGCATGGTGCACGAGCCGCACGAAAAAAAGAAAGAAAAAAAAAACAATAAATCAGAGATCTAGAATAAAGCCCTATTTGGAAGAATTTTATTCTAAATTTTTGACTTTCTAAATTTCGACAAACTCTAATACACACGAATGACTCACGAACAACGGGATGCACGAATTATATTATATAAAATCGTCTTCTTCGTTAATATCAGTAACTCGTATATACAAATTTGTCTCCTCTTCGCCTACCGATTCTAAGTTCGGCTATCTCGTCGCTTTGTTCGATGAGCCGCCTACTTACTAACAATTACTTTACGTGCGAAGAACTTGACCGGAAGATAAAGGTAATGGTTGCCAATGCCTTCAAAATTTCTGCGTTAGTAATACCCATGACCATTGTACGCGTAAGATACGTAGTGATATATCTTTTTGTCTTTTGCATTTTTGCGACGAACGTTATGGTGTTTCCTCGTCGAAAAAGGTTCATTGTATTTTTGCCTATCGATGGCAGTTCTTTCTTTTTTTGGGAAATATTAAATGCAGACAATGTGCTTCCTATATGTTGGGTTGACCAGGTCTCAATTTCTATTAAGAAATTTTTTTAATTTCGTTTCGGTTTCACCAACAACGAATTTAATTACGCATGAATATAATATTCATTACGTTTCTAAGGCTGTATTTATTATCGTAATAAAGGAAATAAAACCGATTTGAAATACAGTGTAAGTGAATATACAGAAATTTTAATTATAAATACAATATTTAAGTTCGGAATATTCGATACATTCTATTCATGTTCGTACTAGTTCTTAGTTATATTTCTAAGCCTAATTATTAACAAAGCTGTCACAATGAATGTTTATTGATCGATCCCAATTCTTATGAGTTCCTGGAAGTTTGATTCGTTGAGAGTGAAACCGAATAAATTTGGATATATATTCGTGTAGTAAAGATAGTTAAATAACCGTCTATGTATCTTACGTCGCAATGCAAACGAAGAAAAAATGCCAGATAGCGACGACACAAAGGCACGACGAATTTGTAACTCCTCTAGCCGGCATTTCAATTTATTCCACACGATCCTATCGAGTCTAGAAAGCGATATATTAACTTTTTCCTTCAAGGCAGAAGCGTCCCCGAAGTTTGGAAACAAATTTATGCGTGTTTACATGGAAATCGTCGTTAGAATTGAAAGAAAATACGGAATTAAGACTCGAAAGGATTCGTTACCGGGCCAACATTTAATCCTTTGGGTTTTTTTTTGTGTGTGTACATTATTAAGTTATATTAAATCGTGAAAAAATTCACTCCAAGAGCTACCGCTTCAAAAACCCACCTTTCGAAAGGATTAAAAAGGCCTTTGCACGTGGTTCGCGTTATCACTTAACTTATTCCATAAAAATTATGAAAAAAGGAAGGAAAATTGCGGGCGTTAAAATTTTTGGCCAAAAGCAGCGGGGACGTATGTCCTCGGCAACGGAATACGGTAAAACCTTGTCGATTATAAGAGAAATTGAAGGAAATTGATTCAAAGCATTTAACGCTACTTAAATTGCACAACGGTTATTCTTTTTTTTTTAAAAAAAAAGAAACAGCAAAAAAAATCCCTAAACGCAATAGAGATTATTTCGAACGTAAAAATACGAACGGCAAATAATTCTCTTCGAATAATGCGTAAAACATTATCGCTTTTCTTTTGCGTTCGCCAAGCTAAAATATTGTAGAAAATGATTGAAAAAAGAAAAAAAGAAAAACAAAAAAACTCAATAAAATGCCCGAGGCGGCAATTCACAAGGTTTTATGGTACATCGAATATGTTCGAACAGTATTCGAGCTGCCGGCTCACGGAGTTCACGCGTCGTAATGTTTCCAGGAGGGCGGTGGTGTGCGCCTCTGAAAGCGATAACAGCGATGTTAACGTTGGGACGAGCATCAAGGAAGTCCTCGGGGGGGGGGGCAAATATTTGCTCCTCCGGCGACTGACTTGAATCGAATATCCCTAACGTCGTGTCATTACAAATCGACGATATGCGAAAAATCGATGTTCGAGAACGAAACGCCATTCGGCGGCATCAAAAAACACATGTCGCAATGATATATATATTCGAAATATACCCCAGAATAAACAGTCGTAAAAATGAACTTTCTTTCCGTTTTTTTTCTTTTTATTGTTTTCTGTTCACCGATGCTCTCCCTCGGAACAAGAAGACGATGCACGTGATCACACGAAAGAAATAAAGGTCTCTTCTTCGTTCAAATGATAAATTCCGAAATAACAAAGGATTTACACAATAATGTTTCGGAAGCTTGTCGAGTGTACGCATTTCGTTCCTTCTCTGTTTTTATCTTTCTCGTTTACTCTCCTCTGCGTGCTTCTTTTTTTTTTTGTTCTCCTATTTTTCTTTCTTTCTGAAAACGTTTTTCTGTTTTTTTTTATCTGTTTATTTTAACAACCGACACACCCTGCGGAATTACACCTCTACCGAACGCTAATTTATTTACGAACAAATAGAAACATCAAAAAGGCCAACCCATGGGATGTGTGAACATAGCGATTTATCGTCGGGAACGCCGAACAGTGAAAGTCGAAGGACAATCCGCACCTTTAAATTATGCTTTACGATTAGCTTTTGTTTCTTATAACGCTTCGCGCGATCCTCGGCAACGGTTCTGAGCCGTCAAACAATCATGCGGCACATGCGTAACACGATAGACAGCAGTGAAAAACATGCAGTTCGGGTCACAGAACTGCGCAACAACAGAAAACGCAGCACTAACAACAGTATTCCGAATTGAACGGCTTTATGCATCCAATACAACCTGGAACAGAAAGATAATTATCAAATATATTACACTGCTAGACTGTCTCATTGCAGTATTACATATTCTCACGTCTAACATATTGACGAAATATCATTATAACAGTGAAGATAATATAAAAGTATAGACATAGTAGAAAATGTAGTAATAATTTAAAATCTTATGTATACTGGTTTTTCAAATCCAAAACGTGCGAACGAACAATAGAAAATGCAAGTTTTATATTACAAATACACATATACATTATAGTACAAAACATCTCTATCATATCGAAAAAAAAGGATTGTCATAGTTCGGATTTATCATACTCAACTGTCAAAACCGTTGAAGACCAGTTATTTCAAAAATTTCTGGATCCTACAGAAGCTGTTTTTCCAAGGTCAAGATACCAATGACTTACTTTTTAATATGTGAACGAGCAGCCGGCAGCGAGTCCGGACTTTCCTTTAGAATGAAATGCCGTATTCCAAGTATATAGTGTTCCAAGTACGACGGCCAGTCGATTTGTCGGACGTCGAACGGGAATGTCTGTTTATCCTCCATGCTGAGCTGTTCGCCTAAACTTCGTACGTTGTCGTCCCTGAAGTTCCATTGTTGTGTGCTGAAGTACTCCAAGCATTTCGTCGCTTTGCAGAGTTTCGCCTGTATGCCGACCATCATCGCCGGTTTGCCCTTCAGCCGCAGCACGAAATCTAGAACGTGTGCCGGCAGCATGTGCTGGAATAGGGTGCACATTTTGTTCATTATGCCGGAGTTACGGCAACGGCCGCCCGGATACCAGATCACCCCGTTCGGCGGATGCATCCGCGTGTACTTGAACGTTAGATCGACGAATTCCTTCCAAGTGATCGGGTTCTGTTGGCCTGTACAGCAATTGTAGATGGGGATCGTCTTCGTGCGATTCGTCGCGGTCCTCCATGCCGCGCAGATCATCAGATTGATCACAATGTCGACCGGTACCAGGTCTGCTATTTTGTCCTCGGCGCACAGCATACTCCTGCAATTACACGTGTGCAACCGTTAACATGGTTGTATTCGTTGAATTTACAATTGAGGATAGTGATGATGGCTCTACCCTATTGATTCTTTTCTATTCTGTTCTTATTGCTTTCCTTGGTTTATGTATTTGGATACTACAGTAAGTGATCGATAAATGTTCGAAGGATCCTCGGCACTGGGTGTTAAGACGTCATCCCCAGCACTGAGTTGTATTTGCAAACAAAGATTAGAGTGGCAGGGATGAAGTAGATACATTTAACGTAGAGATCTTCCCGAGCATTTATCGACAAATTACTGTACCGAGGAGCCGTCGAACACTCATCGAGAATTTACTGTATATCTACGGTACAGTTACGTGTGTTCATTGTACCTAAAGAAACCTTTGCCAGCGGCGGCAATAATTCCCGTCGGGCCGTTCCAATTGTCCACCCATCCGGCTACCGGCTCCCTGTGCGACGACAACACGATAGAGGGTCTGACGATCGCGACCGGCAAATAACCGGACTCTGACTGCAACAGCCTCTCGGTCAGGGCTTTAGTGAACGTGTAAGTGTTGGGTCGATTCCCGATCAGTGTCGGTGTTATATCATCGACCATTTTAGCATCCATGACCTTCGTTAAAGCTATCACATGTTCAGGTTCGGCTGCGACAGGATAAATCTCTTCCGCGACGTCTGTACGGTCGCAGTTACAGTATGCTGTCGATACATGGATGAGGGCCTAGAAAACAGAAAAAAGAAATGCATTGATTTAAGTATCTTTCGGATAAACGTGATAAATTATACACTGATCGTCTGTGTTGTTGGAAAAATTAGCTACTCTACGGACATTGTTAAAACAGTGGATGATCAATTCGGATGGGATGTGTTCACAATGTATAGGAATATAGGGTAGGATATCCCAATTACTGTGAAGATTGTAGCGTAACTTCATTTAATCATTTTACGTATTTTTTTCAACTGAAAATCGTCTTAGGTTGGAACATAATGTTATTTAACATCTCTTTCATTAAAGAAAAAATCCTTTTTGTACGTTGAATTTGAAGAATTAATTGATAATTAGCTAAAATCTGCGAGCAATCCCTGTGTCCCTATAACTGTTACCTCGAAAATTAAAGTAAGTCTTATATAATTTAACAATTAATTTTCTACGATAAATATACAGGTTCAATAGCAAAATTACGGCCTTAACATGACTTCGCAATCTCTTCCCACTCATGTAGTCATGTTTTTGACGTTCAAATTACACTTCAATTATTATTATTATTGATTTATGTTGGGTAAGGAGTAAGTTGTCGAAAGAAATTCTAATTACCTCCAAGTTGTGCATACGATGGCACAAATTCAACAGCTGCTTAGTGCCGACCATGTTGATGGTAACGGAGAGCTTTAGCGCCTCGTCGAATTTTACCGTGGCAGCGGAATGGAAAACGACCGACACGCATCGGATGAGCGTATTTTGATCGGCCTCCGAGATTCCTAATTCGTGTTCCGTGACATCTCCAGCGACGGGAATGATTTTCGAAAGTTCGTGCGGAGAGTCGCGTCGCAACTTCTCGAACAGCTGTCGAAATAAAAATATGCATTGAATTCAGTACACGTTTATAATTGATTGTTCGCTTTCAACCCCATATTTCCAAATTGATCTCTTCCAACTTCATCAAATCACTACAAAGTCAGAGAAGTATCAGTTGATATTAAATCTAGTTCCAGGATATAATATTAAATATTTTAGTAGAAAATTATATTTACAAGATTTTTAATATCATTAATATTTATTAACGGGACAATTTATAGATTTATATTCTTAATTTTGATAGTACTTCACTCTTATAGTACTTTATAAGTAGATTGCGGATGTCTATGAATTTATAGCATCCCTTAAATTGGAAAATGCAATAAAGATTGCAATGAAGTTTAACACTAAACATACCATAACGGGTCAAATGACGCATTTTGAACTTTTGTATTGAAAATGCACGTATAATTTTATTGCGTTTGCACATTTGACTTCATGACTTTTTCTAAGTAATTAATGTACAGTTATAAAAAGTTTTTTTTTTTT